TGTGTGTGTGTTACTGAGGAATCAAACATTACGGCTTTAGTGCTAGGCAAAGCGCTCTACCACTAAGACACCTTCCCAGCCCCATCTCCCCCCATTTTTTTTTTTTTTTAAGCTGTGAAACCCTTTGTTTCATAGCTTTATTTATTTATTTTTCTGCTAGGTTTGGTGGTATGTGCCTGTAAGGAGGATTGCCAGTTTGAGGCTGGCCTGGTTCCACACGTTAGACCCCTAAGGGTCGTAGGCCTCTGCTGAAGCCCAGGAGTACAACAGTAGAGCTGTTGTATGGAAGTTGGTGTGGAGTCTTGCACCTTGTCCTGCTTTCTCAGTTCTGAAGGAGAACGTGGTACAGGGTGATTATAGTTGGATTTATATACAGTGTTAACTGAAAACTACTGGCTGCCTTGTTTTCAACCAGAGATGAGTTAAAGAAACAGATTCATTTGAACATCTTCAGAACCAGAATTCACTACTTCAAATGGTAGTGTCATGGACCTTTCTATAAATAGGGCTTACAGATAAGGTGCCTAAAGTACAAACTCTGCCTGGATTATATTTACACATAAAAGCTTCTGTTGTAGTAAACCCCTAGTATCATTCACTTCAGCTTGATTTCTGTAGATCAGCTGAGAACAAGCAGTTCCTGGTTTGGGACTTGTGCTGACCTGTTGGATCTAGTGCATAAGTTTTCTTTCTTCTGCTCATAATATGACTTCTTAACATTTCTAAAGTAGAATTGCCTGGTTTGATTCCTGGTGTTCCCAAGATACTGCTTTTCTGTGCCAGAACTTCTAGCTGAACAGTTGTGGAGAGCTGTTATACAGAGGATTGAACTTAGGGCTTCTTGAATGAAGCCTCTGCCACAGAGATACACCCCTAGCCCTTGGTGGTTTATGTGGTACTGAGGAATTCAATCCTGGGCTTCATGCATGTTAAGCAAGCACTCTACCACTGAGCCACCTTCCCAGCCCCAGCTTTCAGCTCTTATGCCTCTGTCTGATACGTGTTCCCAGTTTACCGTGTTGCCAAACACAGTACACATCTCAGCTTGCACACAGTCCTGGTTATTCAGGAGTATCACCTGTGTCAGTGGAAGAGGAGATAAGAACCACCATGTATACAAGGTGGGGGAATCTCAGAAGAGAAAAGAGACGTGAACGCACAGATGTTCAGAGCGCACTAGAAACAAGCAATCTACCTTTTTTGTTTGTTTGTTGGTTGGTCATGGGGCTTGAACTCAGGGCCTGGGCACTGTCCCTCAGCTTTTCAGCTCAAGGTGAGCACTCTACCACTTGAGCCACAGCGCCACTTCCAGTTTTTCTGGTGGTTCATTGATGATAAGAGTCTCATGGACTTTCCTGCCTGGGCTGGCTTTGAACTGTGATCCTTAGATCTCAACCTCCTGAGTAGCTAGGATGACATAGGCCTGAGCCACTGGCGCCCGGCTCAGCAATCTACGTTGTTAAAATCTATAATGGAAGGCTGCTTGCCAGGTCAGAACTTTCTGCCTGCCACATCTGTTCTTGAACCCTAAAGTAAAAGCCGAGCCATTATTTATACTCGTGTACCTAGCTCTTCGAAGTGGGTATAGAACATCCATAGGTGAGTGTGAAAGTGAATCTGCTTGGAAACATGATGGAGCAAATCTTACTGGCCGCTGAATTCATGTCAGAAGAAAATGATCTTTAACAGTTACTTTTGTAACTTAAAAAAAAGAGGGAGGGCGGGGCTGGCAAGGTGGCTCAGTGGTAGAGTGCTCGCCTAGCATGCATGAAGTCCTGGGTTCCGTTCCTCAGTACCACCCACACAGAAAAAAAGCCAGAAGTGGTGCTGTGGCTCAAATGGTAGAGTGCTAGCCTTGAGCCAAAGAAGCCAAAGAGTTCAAGTCCCAGGACTGGCCAAAAAAAAAAAAAAAAGTGAATGATGAGCTTCTGGGGAAAGGTGAGAGATTGAGAAGACAGGCCTGGCTAAGAATTCCTATGGCCACATCTGGGGTTGCTAGGCCTGTCTAGAGGAACAGGTGCTGCTCCACCCCCCACAGAGGACAGCAGCTGTCTGAGCCCCAGAAACCCGTTTTCCAGGCCACACAAAGTTGCTGTAGCTCAAGTCATTACAACTTTTCAGCTCATGGTGACACAAGTCCCATTCTTTTTTTTTTTTTTTTTGGTTGGTCTTGAGGCTTGAACTCTGGGCCTGGGTGCTGTACCTGAGCTCTTCAGCTCAAGGCTAGCGCTCTACCACTTGAGCCACAGCGCCACTTCCAGTTTTCTGTTATTGGAGATAAGAGTCTCACGGACTTTTCCTGCCCAGGCTGGCTTTGAACCTCGATCCTCAGATCTCATGCCTCCTGAGTAGCTAGCATGACAGGCGTGAGTCACTGGCACCCGGCCCAAGTCCCATTCTTAAGAGATCCTGGGTGGTCTTCACTTGCAGCTTGTAAGCGACCACCGCTGCTCAAAGATGACAACCTTGTCATCGTCGCAGGGTCTGCTCTTTCCTCAGTGGCGAGCACCAGAGATGGTTCATTCTTGAGGAAGGTGCCAACTTGACCTTCCTGCTTTGTGTCTCGGTGGCTCCTTTGTACCACAGTCAAGGGTAAAGGCTTACAGAAACAATTCTTTCATCAAGCTTCCTGTGAGCAATGGATGCTGGTGGCTTCTGCTTATAACCCTAGCTATTCAGGAAGCTCAGATGGGATGATGGAGGTTCAAAGCCAGCCTTGGCAGAAAAGGCCGCAAGACTCTCATCCCCAGTTAACCATTTAATTACCAGAACTGACAGCGTAACTCAGTTGGTGGAGTGCCTGACAAGCCAGCACGAAGCCCTGAGTTCAGAACTCTAGAACTAACACATAGAACTCCATGAGCAATCCCCATGCGCCTTATTTTCACTGCCTCCCTTGTATCTGCAAAGGTCTTTCTACTTTCTGCTTCACTTGCTGGTCAACTTGGAATGACAGCGTTAAATGCCATCCTCCATCTAGACAGAATGATGTCATTTTCCATTTGCTCAGTCCACTTCCACTGGTGAACACATTTGCGGTGTTCAGGGAGCTTTTAGGATGTTCAGCGAGTTTTCACCGTGTCCCCTCCAAGTCTTATCCTTAGGCAAATGAAATAATTTTCTTCTGCTGAGATTTTTGGCTTTTTCAGACCCATGAAACTCATGGGAATGCTCCGGAGGGGTGTTAGGTAAAAATGTTTTGAAATGTAAGGCCTGCACATGTACCAACTGCCAAAAGATTTTCTTAGTATTCAGCTTGCGAATGGTTTCTTGTTTTAGTTTCTTGAATTTGAAATAAGAGCATTTCACTAGTTGTTTTTTGTTTTCAGTTTTTTTTTTTTTGGTCAGTTGTGGGGCTTGAACTTGGGGCCTGGGCGCTGTCCCTGTGCTCTTCAGCTCAAGACAAGCGCTCTACTGATTCAGCCACAGCGCCACTTCCGGTTTTCTACTGGTTTTTTAGAAATAAGAGTCTCACAGACTTTCCTGTCATGGCTGGCTTTAAAACGTGATCCTCAGATCTCAGCCTCCTGAGTAGCTAGGATGACAGGCATGAGCCACCAGCACTGGGCTTCACTAGGTTTAAAATATTTCTGTGTTGTTTATAAAATTCAGTTTTAAGTAATATTATGTTACAAAATTCAATAATTGTAATGAAAGGTAACCTACGGTTTCTTCAGAATTTTTAGTCACTAATAGCTTCTTATTAAAAGTGGAAAAATACTACGGAAACATTCAACAATGCCTTTTTAATAAGTGAGATTACAAAGCCTGTGTTTAGTTCCAGAAACTTAATCAGATTGAGGGAAATTTTTTTTTTTTTTTTTGTCGGTTGTGGGGCCTGAGCTCTGGGTCTGGACACTGTCTGTCTCTCAGCTCTTCAACTCAAGGCGAGTGCTCTACCACTTGAGCCACAGCACCACTTCCAGCTTTTTCTGCTTATGTGGTGCTGAGGAATGGAACCCAGAGCCTCATGCATGCAAGGCAAGCCCTCTACCACGGAGCCACCTTCCCAGCCAGGGAATATCTTTTATCCCTCTCAGCTATTTTTTTTTCCATAGTCAATTGAATGTTCTTTGTAGAGACAAGCCTTTTACTGACACTATAGATTTTATGTTTAAACTTTTCAGGAAAATATTTTCTTTTAAAAATGTTGATTTTTTTTTTTTCAGTTTGAAAAGATTTTTGTCTGTGTTTTAGCAGTGCCATGATCATTTTATCAGTATTTTTTTAATCAAGTGAATGTGCACCCACAGAAGTGTTTACCTTCTTTCTAGTAGCAAGGAGCTTTTATCTCCCTCTACTCATTCAAAACTGCTTGTTTATAAGGAATCTGAGCTTAGAGTCAAAGGCAAATCTAGATGGGAGGTTTGTCGTTAGATACTTTATCTATAGACGCTTCTAAAACTGCATGGAGATCAAATAGGCATCCTGGTTGCTGTCATTTCTGAGACTTCCTCTGTGTTTTTAGCCTACTCACTAACCTGTGTATCCTTGGCTTGTCTTCTTATTTGTCTTCTGGTCTGGGGGAGTAGATTTTTAAGTCTTACATGCTGTCTTGGTGCTTTGGAAGAAGAGTTAGCCAGGTGTCTTTTTCTGTGGAGAAAAGAAATGGGCTGATCACAGGAGCAGTTAAAATGGAGAAAGCTTAGCCGTACCCGTGTTTCTCATGTTAAACATAATGAGTTGAGAGGATTATGATTATGTGTAATCGTCAGAATCTGAATAGGCAGGACATCTGTTTTCCTTTTAACTCTGTGTTGATGAGGAAATAGCATCTGTTTAATGTGAAGATTTTGTGGTCTAGCTGGTATTGTGGCTTAACTTTTGAAATACACTTTCAAGAAAAACAGCATGTGGTTAGTATAAAGTTTTATTAGGACTAGCGGCTCATTAGTGTAGCACTGTAGGAGAGAAGTTGCTGTGGATGTTTGAATTTTTATTTGCTGTTCCACACTGCATCATATTCAGCACTGAGATTTTCCTTTGGTTTTATTTCCTAGGTTGCACGTTTTCAAAAAATACCCAATGGTGAAAATGAGACAATGATTCCTGTACTGACATCAAAGAAAGCAAGTGAATTACCCGTCAGTGAGGTTGCAGGCATTCTCCAAGTAAGTGCCTTGGTGGGAGGAAGGGAGCAGAGAGCTCGTCAGTCACTGGCCTCTGAGTCAGTGCTGCCCCATGGAATTCGCTTCAGCAAATGCATGGTGTGGTCCTGTGCTTTCCAAAGTAACAGTCACGAGTTAAACATGACTGCATGACTTGGAATTCGTTTAGCCTGACCGAGAAAGTGAGTTCATTTTAATGAACTTAAATAGCTGTATATGGCTACGGGGCACTTGATGGGATATCATGGCTCTAGATCGTTAGCATGACCAGGAGCTATTAGTTAGCGCTGAGTAAGCATTCGTGGGTTAGGAACATAATCAATGTAATTAGTGACACGGTAGCATTAGAAATTCATCTTTTTTCTTTCTTTTTTCTTCCTGTGTTGATACGAAGGGCTTGAACTCAGGGCCTGGGCACTGTCCCTGAGCTTCTTTTGCTCAAGCCTACTGCTCTACCACTTGAACCCCAGTTCTACTTCTGCCTTCTTCTTTTTTTTTGAGTTTATTGGAGTCTCACAGGCTTTATTGCCTGGTCTGGTTTCAAAATACTCAGATCTCAGCCTCTTAAGTAGGTAGGAGCCACCAATGCCCAGTTTTATCTTTTCTTTCTTTTTTTTTGTGGGGGGGTTGGGAGTGGGAAAGGGAGCAGTTTTCTAAAGTAAAGCAAAAGCTAAGAACAAGTTCTTAGCTGAAAATAAATTTTAATAACTAATGCAATTCTCTTCCCAGTTTTCAAAAGTATAATCTATTCAAACATAAAAGAGCATTTTTAACTTTTCCTTTGGACATCCACATATTTTAATAGTGGCATTAAAAACATGGCTGCTTACTTTTGAGGGCTTAAAAATTATTTATGCTTATATCTAACATCAGTTATTTAAAATATGCTTTAAATTTTGAATGGCTTGATTACAAAACTGAATTATTAAGCCACTGGCTAGGAAAATGTTATTTGATGGGCTCCATGAAATTTATTTTTTTGGGGGGAGGGAGGGGTTGTGGGTCTTGAACTCTAGGCCTGGGCACTGACCCTGAGCTCTTCAGCTCAAGGTGAGGACTCTACCACTTGAGCCACAGCACCACTTCCGGTTTTCTGGTGGTTCATTGGAGATCAGAGTCTCATAGATTTTCCTGCCTGGGCTGGCTTTGAACTGTGATCCTCAGATCTCAGCAACCTGAGTAGCTAGGATGATAGGCATGAGTCACTGGCGCCCTGCTTTGAAATTTCATTTTTTAGTCATAAACTCAGGAGAGACAGTAAAGGAATTAGTGATATTAGGAATCAGAGAAGTACTGCTGTATTTCAAGAATAAGCTTAATCTTGGGGCTGGGAATGTGACTTAGTGGTAGAGTGCTCGCCTAGTATGCATGAAGCCATGGGTTTGATTCCTCAGTACCACATACACAGAAAAATCCAGAAGTGGTGCTGTGGCTCAAGTGGGAGAAGGCTAGCCTTGAGCAAAAGAAGCTCAGGGACAGTGCCCAGGCCCTAAGTTCAAGCCCCAGGACTGGCAAAAACATCAATGAAAAATAAATTTAAAAAAAATGTAGTGATATTTTACTTTCACTGAGTTATTACAGCTGGTTTGTATTCCTTTTTTTTTTCCTATAGAAAAACAAGTTTGCTAAACACTCCTTATTTATATAAAAAAATAAATCCTGTTAAGGTATAATTTACATAATATAACACTCTTGAGTATACCATTTGAGAAATGCAACTGCCATGATTATTAAGACACAGAACATTGGTATGCCTCTAGAAAGCTTCCTTGTGTCCTATTGTACTGAGCTCTTGTCATGTACGGCTTCTGGTCCCCAGCAGCCAGAGGGGAGCTTTCTGTCACTACAGACTAGCTTCCTGTCTTGTGACCACAGGTCACACACACTCTTCGGTAGTATTGTTTTGTTCCGTGCTAATGTTGTCGATAACTTTTCTGTGTAAACTCTTAATAGGCTGATCTTCAGAATGGGTTAAACAAATGTGAAGTTAGTCACAGGCGAGCCTTCCATGGCTGGAACGAGTTTGATATCAGTGAAGATGAACCACTGTGGAAGAAATATATTTCTCAGGTAAGACTTGTTTTGCTTCCTTCTCTGCTTTGTAACTCATTTGTCTGCTTTAATAAGGCGATTGAAAGGAAGTAACGTTTCTTATTGTTGATCGTGGTACCATCCCTGAGGTTTTTGTGCTCAGGCTAGTGCTCTACCACTTTGAGCCACAGCTCCACTTCTGATTTGCTGGTGGTTCATTGGAGATAGAAGTTTCACAGGCTTTCCTGCCTGGGCTGGCTTCGAACTGCAGTCCTCAGATCTCAGCCTCCTGAGAGGCTAGGATCACAAAGCCTGGCAGGAAATAACTGTTGTTGTTGATGTTGTTGTTGTTGTTGGTTGTGGAGCTTGAACTTGGGGCTTAGGCGCTGTCCTTGAGCCTTTTTGTGTGCAAGAGGCTTCTGCCACTTGAACCACAATGGCATTTCCAGTTTTTGAGTGGTTAATTGGAGATAAGAGTTTCACAGGGACTTTTCTGCCTAGGCTGGCTTCAAACTTATTTTCCAATCTCAATGTCCTGAGTAGCTAGAATTATAGGCATGAGCCTGGCAGGAATTTTTTTCTCCCCATCCTGGGGCTTGAACTCAGGGCCTAGGCACTGTCACTGAGCTTGTTTTACTCAAGGCTAGCATCCTTATCACTTACGCCACAGTGCCACTTTTGGCTTTTTATGTGGTACTGAGGAATTGAACCCAGGTCTTCCTGCAAACTAGGCAAGCACTCTACCATTAAGCCACATTCCTAGCTCAGAAAATAGTGTGTGTGTGTGTGTGTGTGTGTGTCTGTCTGTCTGTCTGTCTTGTCTATATGGGTCTTGAACTCTGGGCCTGTGCATTGTCCCTTAGCTCTTCAACTCAAGTGAGGGCTCTACCACTTGAGCCACAGCACTACTTCTGGTTTTCTGGTGGTTAATTGGAGATAAGATTCTCACAGGGACTTTCCTGCTTGGGCTGGCTTTGAACTGAAATCCTTAGATCTCAGCCTCTTCAGTAGTTAGAATTACAGGCATGAACCACTGGCGCCCGCTTAGGAAATACAAATTTCCATTTGTTAGGATTTACAGTTCGGTTGGAATTCCTGTAAGTTTTAGTTTGTAACTTTTTTGTTGTTGTTGGTCGTGGGGCTTGACTGCTAGGCCTGGGTGCTCTCCCTGAGTTCTTCAGCTCAAGGTGAGCATTCTACCACTTGAGCTACAACACCACTTCTAGTTTTCTGGAGGTTAATGGAGAGAAGAGTCTCATGGACTTTTCTACCCAGGCTAGCTTTGAACTGTGATCCTCAGAACTCAGCCTCCTGAGTAGCTAGGATGACAGGCGTGAGTCACTGGTGCTGGGCTGCATTTTTTCTGTATTGATAAATTACATGAAGCAAAAAGCTCTTTTGCAAATACTATGCTTACACTTTTTCTGTGTGCTGGTACTGGATATTAAATTCAGGACTAGGCCCTGTCTCTTAGCTTTTTTTTTTTGTTTGTTTGTTTAAGATGTTCTGGTTTTTTTGTTTGTTTGTTTAAGATGTTTTATTTAAGATATTCTGTTCTGTTTAAGATGCTCCACTTCTGGCTTTTTGGTGGTTAGTTGGAGATAAGAGTCTCATGGACGTTACTGCATAGGCTGGCTTTGAACCGAGATCCCCATTTCTTAGCTTCCTGCATAGGTAGGATTACAGGTGTAAGCCTCTTGTGCTCAGCTGAATTTATACTTTTTAAAGAATAGGAATGCTAATTCATTTTAAGGTAATGATGGCTAGCTTAGAAAATTAGTTGTTTGATCCTTTAAACCCCCAAGTGCCGTGGTGTAAATTACAATTTCATTTCTTACCTGCTGTGTGATCTCTATTATCTTCTCCCTTAATTCCATTATAAAATGGTAATAACCTTAGTTGGTAGTAATAGGTGATGATAGATAATGATAGCTATTTGTAATTATTTTATCATTGTCCTAATCTTTTTCTCCTTCAATTATCATACTTTTTAAAGAAAGACTTATAGGGTTTTTTTGTCTTCTTAACAATTACATTAATGTAAAAAATTTTACCACCCTGTGGCCAATTGCAACTAGCAGGGTTGGTTTACTAAACAAGTAATTCCTTATTGAGGGGAGAAAAGATTCTATGCCACTTGATCTGCAGGATCTTATTTTTTTGGTTGGTCATGGGGCTTGAACTCTGGGCCTGGGCACTGTCCCTCAGCTCTTCAGCTCAAGGCGAGCGCTCTACCACTTGAACCACAGCGCCACTTCTGGTTTTTTGGCGGTTTATTGGAGATGAGAGTCTCATGGACTTTCCTGTCCTGGGCTGGCTTTGAACTGCGATCCTCAGATCTCAGCCTCCCAAGTAGTCGGGATGACAGACGTGAGCCACCGGTGCCCAGCTGTCATCATTTTTAACTTAATTTCCTTACAGTTTGTTTTAAGTAAAGCCTTTGATGAATAGAACAGAACCATCATTAATAAAGTATTGAACCACTGTTTGTTTTTTGCTTTCAGTTTAAAAACCCCCTTATTATGCTGCTTCTGGCTTCTGCAGTCATCAGTGTTTTAATGCATCAGTTTGATGATGCCGTCAGTATCACTGTGGTGAGTATAGGCCCGGGTGTGCATTTTAATCTGTTGATGAACTACTTCAATGGGAGTACTACTTACTTTGAACAACGATGACTGATCTTGAACCTCCTGAGAGTACATGGTGTCTCAGCTTCCTGACCAGCTGGGAGTGCAGGTGTGCACCACCGTACCCAGGTGTTATAGTAATCTTGCATAAAGTGATGGCACCCACGACAAGCGATTTAACAATCGGATCGGATCGCTTCATAGATAGGAAATACAATAACTTCTTAGCCATCCTTAAGATTTCTTCTGCTTCCCAGTTGATAATACTTAAGCTAATCGGTGAACTGAAACCTGACCTAGGAAATTAAAGGCACAAAAAGTAATGGTGTATAAAAACAGGTAGAGCCTTAGCACAAGTCAGAGTAATGGCCCACAATTGTTACTAGCCTTATTTTCATTTAGTGTATGTTTTGACGTCTGGGCATGATGATACATGCCAGTAATCCTAGCTGCATGGCAGGTGTATGCAGGAGGGTGGTGAGTTTGAAGCCTAATTTAAAAAAAAAAAAGATTTTTGATAGAACAGTAAAAATTAATTTGATTAAATCTTGCTTTGAGCATATACCTTTTTAATACAAAGCTGTGCAACATACTTGCATTTGTAGAAGCACCATGATTATCTCAAGGCAGTTGTTGGTGAGGCGGAGTATTCTTTTACGTGAAATAGTCATTAATGATATTAATGATAAAATTCAGGCTTCCAAGCGGTAGCTAGAGTTCTGGTAAATGTATGCTGCCGTGAGTTCGGATACTTTCCCCAGTGGCTCAGAGCTGCCTGGGACGGCCGTCCACTGTCCAGGAGCAGGTTCTTCCCTGACAGGCCTCAGGGCAAAGCTAGGGTTTCTTCTCCAACCTAGCTCAGTGTTTGAAATCTGTAGTCTGAAAAGTAAAACATGTTTTAACAGTTCCTTCTCACTAACGTGTGATTTTAAAAGGCTGTCTCTCTGTTCTGTTTAGGCAATACTTATTGTTGTTACCGTTGCCTTTGTTCAGGTGAGTAAGTTTTGTCAACATAAAAAGTGGTATGTTAATTACTGAAACAAGATCAGATTGGCTTATGAAAAGACTTTGAGCTGTTATGAGGCGGTAATGCATATCCTAATAATTCCTTCTGCGTTCTTGAAATCGTTTCAGACCCAGACAATGATGCAGGGAAGATTATAAGAGGAAAGGTTGCTTTGATCTAGATAGTGAGATGAACAAAATTTATTTTATTTGTCTGTCTTGAAGAATTACTGGAGCAGATGGAAATAGTGAAGCACAGGAGTAGAAATAAATTCTAGCAATAGCTTTTTATTATTCCAATTAAAAAATTAGATCAGGGTTTATAATTTTATTACATTGTGATGTTTTAGTACCTATTAGAGCTAAGTCTCAATGAAACAACAAAAGAGTATAGAATTAAATGGTTCATTTATTAAATACCATTTGAAGAAAATTCCTTACTTTTCTTTTTATTTCTTTTCTTTTTTTTTTTTTTTTTTGGGTCTGGTCGTGGGGGCCTGAGCTCTGGGCCTGGGCGCTGTCCCTCAGCTCTTCAGCTCAAGGCTAGCGCTCTACCACTTGAGCCACAGCGCCACTTCCGGCTTTTTTCTTTTTGCTTATGTGGTGCTGAGGAATCGAACCCAGGGCCTCATGCATGCAAGGCAAGCCCTCTACCACTGAGCCACCTTCCCAGCCCCCTCTTTTTTTGTTTTGTTTTGTTTTTTCTTTTTCGTTGGCCCTGGGGCTTGAACTGTGAGCATGAGCACTGCCTCCAAGCTCCATTTGCTCAAGGCTAGCACTCTACTACTTGAGCCACAGCTTCATTTCTAGTTTTCTGGTGGTTAATTGGAGATAAGAATCTCACAGGGCTTTTTTGTCCACGCTGGCTTTTAGTCATGATCCTCAGACTGCTCAGCCTACTGAGTAGCTAGGATGACAGGCGGGAGCCACCAGGTTTGGAGGGTGTGTCTGACCTACTGCTGTGGGCTATGTGTGAGGATAGAAATAGTCCAGACCACCCCAGGCTTAGTTCACATACTTCCGGTTGATTGGAAGAATGTCTGCCATTGTAGGGCTTGCCACATCTCCTCGTCCATTCTTTGTTCTTTCTAAGAAAATTTATTCCATTAAACCATTACTAAATTAGATGTTACATACAGATGATTGTCTTTGATTTCAGTGGCCATTAGATACCAAATATGAAATTATCTAGTTATAAGGCTCAATTATCTTAACTTTTAATCACTCAAAATTATATACTCTTGGGCTGGATGTGGCCAGTTTACACTTGAAATACCAGCTCTGCTGGAAGTGGAGATTGGAGGATTACGTGCTGAAGCAAGCCTGAGCAAAAAATTCTCCCAGGCCCTATCTCATAAAGAGAGAAACGGTGGGGGGGGTAGGGGGAGGGCCTGGGAAGGCGGCTCAGTGGTGGAGTGCTTGCTTTATATGCATGAGGCCTTGGGTTCAATTCCTCAGCACCACATAAGCAGAAAAAGGTGGGAGTGGTGCCATGGCTCAAGTGGTAGAGCACTAGCTTTGAGCTGAAGATCTGAGGGACAGCACCCAGGCCCAGAGTTTAGGCCCCACGACTGACAAAAAAAAGAGAGAGAGAGAAACTGGGTATAGTAGGCATTTCTGCAATCCCAGTTTCTTGGGAAGTAGGAGGATTACAGTCTGAGGCTGGCTTCAGGCAAAAGTGAGAGACCTATCTAGAAGATAAAGCAAAGCAAAGCACTGGAGGCTTGGCTAACAAGTGCATGGCCTTGAGATCAAAGCCTAGTATTTCAAGAAAAAAAGAAGTACTGTAGGCTTTTTGAACACACTAATACATTTTCATTTTTTTTCTAACATTAGGTTTGTACATTGAATATTAAAATGTAAGATTCAAAGTAATTATGAGAATTGTAATTGTTTGCTTTTTTGTCATTCCAAAAATAATCAATTGTGCATTAATACAGGAAAGCACATAGCTTAGCTTATGGTTCATTCTTCAAAGCTAGAGTAGCCACATTAAAAAGTTTAGCAGTTTTTACTTAAAAAAAATCCAGTCAGGGGCTGGGAAGGTGGCTCAGTGGTAGAGCACTTGCCTTGCATGCATGAGGCCCTGGGTTCGATTCCTCAGCACCACATAAGCAAAAAGAAAAAAGCCGGAAGTAGTGCTGTGGCTCAAGTGGTAGAGTGCTAGCCTTGAGCTGAAGAGCTGAAGGACAGTGCTCAGGCCCAGAGTTCAGGCCCCACGACCGGACCCCCCCCCCCCAAAAAAAAGAAAAAAAAATCCAGTCATGCTGGGCGCTGGTGGCTCATACCTGTCATCCTAGCTACTCAGGAGGCTGAGATCTGAGGATTGCAGTGTGAAGCCAGCCTGGGCAGGAAAGTCTGTGAAACTCTTATACCCCATTAACCACTAGAAAACTGGAAGTGGCACTGTGTCTCAAGTGGTAGAGCACTACCCTTGAGCTGAAGAGCTGAAGGACAGCACCCAGGCCCTGAGTTCAAGCCCCACAACCTCAAAACAAAACAAAACAAAAAAATCCAGTCATGAGTACACGTTGGGAACTTTTTTTTTTGCTTTTCTTTTTTCCTTTTTTGCCAGTCCTGCAGCTTGAACTCAGGGCCTGGGCTCTGTCTTTTTGCTCAAGGCTAGTGCTGTATTACTTGAGCCATACCACCACTTCTGGCTTTTTCTGTGGTACTGAAGAATCAAACCCAGGGCTTTATGCATACTATACAAGCTCTTTACTACTGAGCCACATCCCCCCCCCCCCCCCCAATTATTTTTTTGTCGGTTGTGGGACTTGAACTCGGTTTGGGCACTGTCCCTGTACTCTTCAGCTCAAGGCAAGTGCTCTTACTGCTTGAGCCACAGTGCCACTTCTGGTTTTCTAGTGGGTTTATTGGAGATAAGTCTCACAGAGTGGCTCACGCTTATAATCCTAGCTACTCAAGTGGCTGAGATCTGAGGATCTCGGTTCAAAGCCAGCCTGGGCAGGAAAGTCTGTGAAACTCTTTTTTTTTTTTGTACAGCGAAATAGTTATTTTGACATTTGACAATAATGTTCGTGAAACTTTTATCTCCAGTAAACCACCAGAAAATTGGAAGTGACGCTGTAGCTCAAGTGGTAGAGCATTCGCCTTGAGTTGAAGAGCTGAGGGACAGCGCTCAGGCCCAGAGTTCAAGCCCCACGATAGACCAAAAAAAAAAAAAGTCTCACAGAGTTTCCTTCCCAGACTGGCTTTGAATTGCGATCCTCAGGTCTCACCCTCCTGAGTAGCTAGGATTATAGTTGTGAGCCACTGGCAGGCACCTAGTGGTAGTAGGTGGTAGTAAGTTTTTGTCAGGAGGAAGAAATTGTAGAGGTACACTCACCTAGAAAGCCTGTCCACCTTCCTAGAACTCTGAAGAATCACTGAGCATGTAATTCTTTTGATCTTTTATGAGTAATCATGGTGGTTCTGAGAGTACATCCAACAAAGTTAGCCCAATTGTTTATCCAGAAAAATAGTTTTGTGATAGTAAGCTTTTTTTTTTTTTGGTTGGTTGTGGGGCCTAAACTCTGCACCTGGGCACTGTTCCTCAGCTCTTCAGCTCAAGGCTAGCGCTCTAGCGCTTGAGCCACAGCGCCACTTCCGGCTTTTTCTGTTTATGTGGTGCTGAGGAATCGAACCCAGGGCCTCATGTGTGCAAAGCAAGCACTCTACCACGGAGCCACCTTCCCAGCTCTTGAAAAGTAAGCCTTTAATGGGATTTCTAGAATCCTGGACTAGCAAGAGGCATCATTACAAGTTCTGCAAATAGAAGATTAGGTGTTGATTTTCGCCAGTAGCTTTTCAGTAGGAGATGTCTTTTGATTGATTCCTACAGCAAAGACAAGGTATGACCATAGGAGGGTCAGAAATCTTGGGACAGGCAGCTGATTAAGTTAAAGCTAGATAAGTACTCCAAAAAGAAACTCCTGTGGAGGTCCAAGGAGGTTAAGGGACTGAAATTCTGGCCCATGTGGAAAAGAGTGGTAAGCACACAAAAGCTTTACACAGAGCTCATTGGAGAAAGCGTTGGTGATGGCGGGCTATCTCACACTGTTGTCAAACCAGGAAGGATGACTGACATGGACCTGCTCCCAAGGAGTTGGACATAGGCAAGCTGTATGCATGGGGAAGCAAGGAGGATTCTCAGTTTCCTTAGGATTCTCAGTTTCCTTTTTCATTTTGGTCATGGGGCTTGAATTCAGGGCCTAGATGCTGTCCCTGGGTCTCTTTGTTCTGAATGCTAGTATTCTACCACTTTGAGCCACAGCGCCACTTCCAGTTTTCGAGTGGTTCATTGGAGATAAGAGTCTCATGGGGACTTTTCTGCTCGGGCTGGCTTCGAACCATGATCCTCAGATGTCAGCCTCCTTAGTAGTTAGGATATAGGCATGTGGCTAAACTGTAGCTTTTAAATCTAGCCATCAGCCTTCCTTTTCTTCTCTGTAAACTAGAAACACTCCTATGAAAACCAGAAAGTCTGTAGATGTCTTGAGTTACTTCATCTTTATGGTACTGTAATGTGAAAGTAGCCATGTTGAAATCAGGAACAGCTTTAGCAGCTGTTCTTCAAAACTTGTCCATCAGAGAAATGGATTCAATAAAAATGGTGGTATGGTTGAGTTTATTCTCTTCTGTCTCTCTCATTTTTTTTGGGTCAGTTGTGGGGCTTGAACTCCAGGCCTATGCGCCGTCCCTGAACTCTTTGGCTCAAGGCTAGCGCTCTACCACTTGAGCCACAGTGCCATTTCTGGTTTTCTGATTGGTTTATTGAAGATAAGAGTCTCAAGGACTTTCCTGCCAGGGCTGGTTTTGCACCATGATCCTCAAATCTCAGCCTCCTGAGTAGCTAGGAGGGACAGGCAGGAGCCACTGGTGCCCAGCCTCTTCTGTGTCTCTTAACTCCTACCTGCAAATGAAATTTCTCTGTAGCAACTGGAACTCAACATCCACGATAGTATATTCTAAACATCTAGCCATAGTATGAACTCTGAGATGAACTCAAAACTTGGTACCTGATGCTTTTGCTCATTTGCTGGTACTCTCCCAACTGAGCCATGCCTCCAGCCACAGCATTAAGTTTTGATTGGAGGCACAGAGGAAAAGGACAACACAAAGTTCACTTCTTCTCCACCCATGTGTATGAGCAGCTCGCATCTCCAAGCCCTAATAGGGATGTTTGCATGGGTTAGGAATAGATGCTAGAGTAAGGGAAAAGGTAGGCATTTGGGAAGTCTCAGTTCTTACTGAGATTAGTATACGAGTCTAAATTGAATGTGTTCGTGGGAATATAGATGTAATTTTTGTGAGGGTTTTATTAATACTAATTCCTGCTTTTGTTTCATTTTGAATAGGAATATCGTTCAGAAAAATCGCTTGAAGAACTGAGTAAACTTATGCCACCAGAATGCCATTGGTATGACCCGCCTTTTTTTTTTTTTTTTTTCCCTGTAAGATTTCTATCCCTGTAAGATCAAGCTGAATGTGACCAGTATAAGCAGTGTTGTAAACCCTGTTTGTCTCAATGTAAGGAAGAAATTCTTAGTCTGAAATGAAAATTATTTTCTGCTCCAAACAGTGTAGCTGATTCTCTAGATTGATATATTAAGAGACTGGTTTGCAGTGACGTCTATTTCCAGCAAACAACTTGTTCTAATAATGCTAATGTTTCTGAGGTGGTTGTATGCAGCAGATATTTCGTGTGTTTGTGCATGTTGATCATTGTACTGAGGAGAGTGCTGAAATCCCCACACGATTAAGGATGTTGTTTTAGTTTCACATTTTACATTTGAACTCTTTTTTTTTTTGGGGGTCCGGTCGTGGGGCCTGAACTTTGGGCCTGGGCACTGTCCCTCAGCTCTTCAGCTGTAGACTAGCACTCTACCACTTGAGCCTCAGCCCCACTTCCGGCTTTCTCTGCTTATGTGGTGCTGAGGAATCGAACCCAGGCCTCATGCATGCAAGGCAAGCACTCTTACCACTGAGCCACCTTCCCAGCCCACATTTGAACTCTTCTTTCAGTGAATTTTCTGTCATTAGAGCATATAAACAAGTCTTCATTTTAGTACTTCTACTTGACTTACTGCCTTCAAAGTGGTGATATTGATGCTCTTCTTCAGACAAGCCATTGGGAATGATTTAGATAACTAGCGTGGCTTTCTTTCTTTGACTTATCATTTCTGTTTTGCTTAGTGTGCGGGAAGGAAAATTGGAGCATACACTTGCCCGAGACTTGGTTCCAGGTGACACAGTTTGCCTTTCTGTGGGGGACAGAGTTCCTGCTGATTTACGCTTGTTTGAGGTAAGTTTGAGGTTGTATGTGTAAGAAGAGAAATTACTTGCATGTCAGTCACAAGATAAGCAGTAGCAGTTATAAGGATTATCATCTAGCTAATTTGAAACATTTGATATTTTTAGTTTAAAAGGGACAGATGCAAACATGTGCTTTCCTATCCCTTCTATAAAATCTCATGACATAACCCATGTAGAGAATCAGCAGATCTTTTTTTTATTTTTTAATTTTTTTTTGGTCCGGTCGTGGGGCCTGAACTCTGGGCCTGGGCGCTGTCCCTCAGCTCTTCAGCTCAAGGCTAGCGCTCTACCACTTGAGCCACAGCGCCACTTCCGGCTTTTTTCTTTTTGCTTATATGGTGCTGAGGAATAGAACCCAGGGCCTCAGGCATGCAAGGCAAGCGCTCTACCACTGAGCCACCTTCCCAGCCCAGAATCAGCAGATCTTATGGAAATTTACACATTAGGTAGAAAAGGAAACAGAAAATTCTAATGATAAGGATGCATACTTACGTGTACATAAATCACCAGAAAATAAGATGGAGCAGTCGAGTTAGAAAGGTTCAAAGAATAGGTTAGGAAACTTAGAGAAGGGAGAAGTACTTGTGATGTGGTTGATATCAGAGAATAACTCTTAGAGCCTGAGACCTGGTTACACTGATAGGCTTGCCTCATTTACTAAATATCTCTTTTGTTAGAAATAATCACCTTCGGGCTGGGAAGGTGGCTCAGTGGTAGAGTGCTTGCCTTGCATGCCTGAGGCCCTGGGTTCGATTCCTCAGCACCACATAAGCAAAAAGAAAAAAGCCAGAATTGGCGCTGTGGCTCAAGTGGTAGAGCACTAACCTTTAGCTGAAGAGCTGAGGGACAGCGCCCAGGCCCAGAGTTCAGGCCCAACGACCGGACCAAAAAAAAAAAAAGAAATAGTCACCTTCTTTCTCCTTTCCCCCAAACTGCTTGTGAAAACTTTTATCATCACTATTAAAAGAAAATAACTTGGTAACATAGAAAATATTATTTTCTTATTTTTTGCTGATCCTGGGGCTTCAACTCAGGCCCTGGGCACTGTCCCTGAACTTCTTTTGCTCAAGGCTAGCACTCTACCACTTGAGCCACAGTGCCACTTTCAGCTTTTTGTGTGTGTGTGTGTGTGTGATTTATCAGAGATAAGTATCTAAATGGACTTTCCTGCTTGGGCTGGTTTCAAGTCTCCTGAGTAGCTAGGATTATGGGCATGAGCCGCTGGTGCCTGGATTAGAAAATAGTCTTTGCAGTTTTGGGCAGTGAATGCTATTATTTATATTTTTGTGATAATGTGAGTTTTCATTATGAATTTATAGTTATATAGAAACCCTCCTCCTTCCCCCAAGGGGCCCACGCTTCTCTATCAACTTTTCTTTTGTATTAGACAAGTATAGTTTTTGCTAGAAAAGTCTGATTTAACTAAAAGTTCTCTCAAATTGTTCTGCTAAGGCGAAAAACAGAGGAGCTAGCTCACCAATAAGGTCAATGAAGCCTTATCTTTCTTTTCTTTTTAAAAGTCTGGTGTGCCAGAGGCCCATGCTTATAACCTTAGCTACTTAAGAGGCTGAGGTCTTGAGGATCACATTTCAAAGCCAGCCTGGGCAGGAAAGTCTGTGAGACTCTGAGACTCTTAACTCCACTTAGTCTCCAGAAAACCAGAAGTGGCACTGTGGCTCAAAGTGGTAGAGCACTAAGCCTTGTGTGAAAAAAGCTTAGGGACAGCGCCCAGGCCTTGAGTTCCAGCCCCATGACAGTTGGGAGAAATAAAGGTGACTTCTATTCTTTCTTCCTATAGAAAGTGATGGGATTGCACTTTGAGAAGCCCTGCTGTTTCTGTATCCTCTTAAGGTGATTGACACTAATGTAGTGAAGGTTTTGAATAGTACTGCAATAAGGAAAGCTATTTAGCTATTAACGCATTTCTAAAACTTAATTAGATCCAGTATCCTCCCCCCCACCGTCTGTCTGTGTATGTGTGTGTGTATGTGTTGTATCCCAGTCAGCAGGAAAACAAAGAACGCCACAATTAATAAGCCGAATTATAGGAATCTTTATAGTTGCCTCCACAGGCCTGCGGCTGTACAGGGGTGTAGACTTCCCAAATCGTGCAGCACTGAGATAGCTCAGAGTTAGTCTTTTTTTGTTGTTTGTTTTTTTGTCAGTCATGGGTCTTGAACTCTGGGCCTGGGCGCTGTCCCTCAGCTCTTCAGCTCAAGGCTAGCGCTCTACCACTTGAGCCACAGTGCCACTTTTGGCTTTTTTTGCTTATGTGGTGCTGAGGAATTGAACTGAGGGCCCCATGCATGCAAGGCAAGCACTCTACCACTGAGCCACCTTCCTAGCCCTCAGAGTTAGTCTTTTAAAGACACAAACTGCATTTTTTTTCTTTGTTTAGCAAAGCTGATACAGAAGTGAAATTAACCATTATCAGTAAATACAGACTTAACTTCCTGGATTACTGGGGGGCTGGAACATTTTTGGGGAATTGCAGAACTTGATGAGCAAACAGCTTTTTGCAAAACCTGCTTGAGCAAACCACAGTTCTAGGGTCAGGGGACCATTTTCCTTGGGGGATAAAATGGCTTTACTTCTGTCAGGCTTCAGGCTTAAGGATATAACCTACTTCGTGTGTATCTACCAGTTAGACATCTGTTATATTACACCCCATGCTTAGGTTCATCCATCTGTGCGCTATACTTTTGGAAAGAGGCAGGTCACACCTATAGCATTTTCCATATATAAAATGATATTTTTTTTAAGCTTGGGTAGTTAAATAGATACTTCATTATACTGTAAGTGAAATCCTCAGAATTGACCGCTGTTGTAAAGTCAAAAGGTACTTTGGTAGTCGTAATCTGCATGGATTCTTGCAAACTTTAATTTGGAATAAATGTAGGGGTGTAGAACAAGAAGTCTGTGAAAACAGAGCCCTTAATAATGCTTGTCACTTTTAGTACCTTTCACTCCTGTATTATCTTTTTGTTAGAGTTGGCTTGAATCTGCCAAACACACTTCTAGAACATTAGGAAGTATGACAAAAACGAGGGAAGTTTTCTTTCTATGGAGTCTTAGATAATGTCTCCTTTGTGTATTTTTCCTCTTTCTTTTTGCTGGTCGTAGGGCTTGTGCTCAGCCTGGGATCTGTCCCTCAGCTTTTGCGCTCAAGGCTGTGGTGCTCTACCACTTGAACTACAGCTCCATTTCCAGCTTTATTGGTAGTTTATTGAATGTAAGAGTCTCATGGACTTTGCTGCCGTGTCTGGCTTTGAACCATGATCCTCAGATCTCAGCCTCCTGAGTAGCTAGGATGACAGGCGTGGGCCACCAGCGCCCAGCTTCCTTCATTGTACTTTGAATTTCAGTTTAATGTGGTCTTACCATATCATAGCATCGTGTTTTTTCAGGTCTCAGACTTTGTTGCTTCATAAAATTTTTTTTTTTGACTGAACTGCTTCTGGTCTTGAGTAGTGAATAAAAGATGAAAGACATAGTTAAAGCAGCGGTGATATTTGAATTAAAAACGGTGCTTATGAGCAATGACATGCAGCTCAGCTCTGTGTTTATGGAATGCCTCTGTCCCCTAGGCTGTGGACCTTTCCATTGATGAGTCTAGCTTGACAGGAGAGACAACACCTTGCTCTAAGGTAACAGCTCCCCAGCCAGCAGCCACTAATGGAGATCTGGCCTCAAGAAGTAACATTGCCTTCATGGGAACTCTGGTCCGATGTGGCAAAGCAAAGGTGATTTTCTTTCTTCTTTTGAAAAAGGCTGTTTTGGTTTTTAAAAAAAAAATGATTTTCTGTATATTCATTTGCTAATTTTATGTATATTGTATTTATTTAGTCAGTCAGTCATGGGGCTTGAACTGTGTGGGCCTGGGCGCTGTCCCTTAGCTATTGAGCTCAAGGCGAGCGCTCTACCACTTGAGCCACAGCACCACTTCCAGTTTTCTGGTGGTTCATTGGAGATAAGACTCTCATGGATTTTTCCTGCCTGGGCAGGCTTTGAACCAGGATCTTCAGATCTCAGCCTCCTGCGTAGCTAGGATGACAGGTGTGAGCCCACCGGCGCCTGGCTGTATATTGTTTTTAAAAAAGCATGTGGCAAAGAAAAGGCAGACTTGATTCTGACACTGGACTGCTGTGTGTGAGATTGGAGAAAATCTATATCCCCAAAATACAGATGTATGAAATACAACTTATTGATAGTTTTGTCATGGATTAAATAAGGTTTAGTCCTCACTATCTTTTTTTTTGAAGAGAAACAGTGGCTCATGGGTATGTGCATTTCTATTATAGTTAAGATTTGAATCTAGTTTAGATACTGATTATAATGTTTTTTGTTTTTGTTTATTTTTTTTGGTCGTTTGTGGGGCTTGAACTCAGGGCCTGGGCACTGTCCCTCAGCTCTTCAGCTCAAGCTGAGTGCTCTATCACTTGAGCCACAGCGCCACTTCTGGTTTTCAAGTGGTTTATTGGAGATAAGACAGTCCCAGACTTTGCTGCCCGGGCTGGCTTTGAACCACGATCCTCAGATCTCAGCTGCCTGAGTAGCTAGGATGACAGGCGTGAATTTCACTGAGAATAGCATTCAACAACATAGGAGGGGACAAGAAATTATAGACTATCATCTGTTGAGTGTAAGATTTGAATTTCTGCACATATTAATGGGCAAAAATGAACCTCAATTCAGTATTAAATATGACAAAATGTAATATATATGAATGTATATGAAATATGTCATCTATAATATGATATATAATATATATGAAATATAATCATTAATGATAGGAATATAAAAAAATCAATTTGCTGAGGGAACCTTAGGATGCGTATGTCAGGTCTGTGGGTAAAGACTCTGAAGAAAGGAAATGAACGGCTCTTTGCTTTTTAAACGCCTTTGGTTGGGAGAATTGGTTCCATCTGAATGTAAATGGATTTTTCTGGACTTTCCTCTTAGGGTATTGTCATTGGAACTGGAGAAAATTCTGAATTTGGAGAGGTTTTTAAAATGATGCAAGCAGAGGAAGTGAGTACTTGATAGGTGAATGATGCATCTCTCCCAGGGCTGGAGTTCTCCGGAGGAAAAGAGAGCATTTACGGGCTCTTTTAGATGTTCTGGAAAAAAACGTTTTATTCAGAATATTACTCAACTTTTGCTTAGAACTGGTATGCCTAGAATATAAAAAAATAATGCAAACATATGTGGAATAAAATATGAAAAATAAAATTCAGATCAATCATAAGAAAATTTGAAAAAAATTCACCAAGGAAGGGCCTGAGTTTACACTTCCAGTATTCTTAGAAGATTGTGCTTTTGATTCACTGTTTACAGTAGAAATTTATTTAATAGCTTTTTTGTGTCTTGTTGAAAACTCTCCAAGTGTGTATGTGGGATTGACAAAGGACCTGGAAGACACTCTTGTCCTAAGGATAAAATTCCCCCTCTCCTATGATACTCGGGTCTTCCTTGCTTACTGACACTTGAGCCATGCTCCCTGCCCCTTGTTAGTTACTTTTCCCATAGTCGTGCTTGGAGCTAATTGGGATGACACTCTTTTTCTAATTTGTGAAGGCGCCAAAAACCCCTCTGCAGAAGAGCATGGACCTCTTGGGAAAGCAGCTGTCCTTTTACTCCTTTGGTATAATAGGTAAGAGAAGAGTGAGTATGTATGCATTATATTTTCACTTGGGTTTGTTTCTTTGTTTGTTTGTTTTCTGTGCTGGTCCCAAGGCTTGAACCTGGGGCCTTGTGCTTTCTCAGCTTGCTTGCTTGACTGGAGCACTAGCATTGAAGCCACACCTCCAGGCTGGCTTTTCCCCCAGTTATTCAACAGATGCTCACCTAGAACAAATTCAAGGGTTGCATTTTACGAATCTATAATATGACCATCTTTTCAGATTATTTTTCCTCACACAAGCTATTCTTCAGTGTAGATATCTTGTTGTAAACATTTGTCATTTCCTTAAATTTTTAGAAGCAAAATTATTGAATCAATGGTTGTTCATGTAGTTTTCAATTTTGGACCTTAGCATTGTTACTGCCTTTTATCTTATCAAACCTCTGATAATGCAGTATGTTTTTGTTCCTAATAAATTTGGTGGTATACATTTTACCCATTTTATGATAAAAAGGTTCAAGTAGGGAGTACAGATCATGATTAGCTTGCTTTTAAGTGTTTTAAAATGCCACGCCTATAGTTATTTTAAATGTCACTGTAGTTTCAGGGGTTATACATTATATCATACTTTGAGCCAGGTCACATGCAGTACAAACTTCACAAATGACTTCTGGTATTGAGTTATACAAAATAATATCATAGCATTTGTTTTTGCAACCTTGCTGGCAAATGGAAGCTCCATATACTGTCTTGGTCTGCTTCTTTGTTTTCATTAGTGGTAGTATTTTCTTGGAACATACTATTGTTTTGAGGGATGAATGCAATGCCTGGAACCAAAGGTTTCTGCATGTGCTATGTACATGGACAGCATTACTTTAGACCAGTGTTAACTTTAATCCTCTACCTTAATGGAGTTTTATAAAAATCTTGTTATTATAATACTCTCTTTTATTTTATTTATCTATTTATTTTGTCAGTTGTGGGGCTTGAACTCTGGGCCTGGGCGCTGTCCCTCAGCTCTTCAGCTCAAGGCGAGCGCTCTACTACTTGAGCTACAGCGCCACTTCCGGTTTTCTGGTGGTTTATTGGAGATAGGAGTCTCACGGTCTCTCCTGCCCGGGCTGGCTTTGAACCGCGATCCTCAGATCTCAGCCTCCTGAGTAGCTAGGATTACAGGCGTGAGCCACCAGCGCCCGGCTTATAATACTCTCTTTTAATTCAAGGCACCTCGATTTGTTATTTCATCTCTTACAGGTGGTTTTTTTTTTTTGTCGGTCGTGGGGCTTGAACTCTGGGCCTAGGCACTGTCCTTCAGCTCTTCAGCTCAAGGCAAGCACTCTACCACTTGAGCTACAGCGCCACTTCCGATTTTCTGGTGGGTTATTGGAAATAGGAGTCTCACAGTCTTTCCTGCCCGGGCTGGCTTTGAACCGTGATCCTCAGATCTCAGCCTCCTGAGCAGCTAGGATTACAGGCGTGAGCCACCAGCGCCCGGCACAGGTGGTTTTTTTTAAGGAAAGAAAAAACTAGCTATTTGGTTTTGTTCTAGGTATCATCATGTTGGTCGGCTGGTTGCTAGGAAAAGACATTCTGGAAATGTTTACTATTAGTGTAAGGTAAGTTCTTATACCTTGTCTGTAAGTGAAATTTCTTTGCCTCTCTTACTTTTTTGCTAGTCTTAGCTTACCTTTCATTATGGAGTATTACATGAAGCCCATATGAATATAATACCTCTACTTAAATAGTTGAAAACCCATGAGAAGTGACCTGAAAGGAAAGTACAAATCTACCTAAATGCTAGAGAAGAAAATAGGCACTAGATGCCTGGAATTACTAACCCAGAATCACATAACACTCACCTCAGGCATCCTACAGGAGAGAGGTCGCAGCTGGCATCTCCTCCAAGGCCTAGGAAGTAAAAGCTAAAATATTAGAACAAAAATACATGTATTTCAAGACAAATTGAAAAGATTAAAGAAATAGGCAGAAAGACTTAAGAAGTGAAAAGTACTGTGGTACAGGAAAGGAATACATTACATAGAGGAGCAGAAGTACATTTTTGAAGTGTGTGGTTTAAAAATAGGTATAAAATAGGGGTTAAAAATAGGAGTTAGCTGGGTGCCAGAGCTTATGCCTATCATCCTAGCTTCTCAGGAGGCTGCGATATGAGAATTGGGTTTGGAGCCAGCAGTATCAAAGTCTGTGAGACTCCTGTCTCCAGTTAACCACCAAAAGCTGGAAGTGGAGCTGGGTTCAAGTGATTGTGTGTTAGCCTTGAGCAAACAAAGCTCAGGGACAGCACCCAGACCTTGAGGTTCAAGCCCCAGGACTGCAACCAATTAATCCTAGCTATCAGGAGGCTGAGATCTGAGGATCATGGTTCAAAGCCAGCCCAGGCAGGAAAGTCTGTGAGACTCACTGGAGATGGTCTCATGGACTTTCCTGCCCAGGCTGGCTTCGAACTGTGATCCTCAGATCTCAGCTTCCTGAGTAGCTAGGATGACAAGGGAGAGCCGCTGGTGCCCGCAATGACAATCTATTTTATCACTGCATCAACCTTCCAATAAACCACTCAAAAAACCAGAATTGGCACTGTGGCTCAAGAGGTAAGCTCTAGCCTTGAGCTGAACTGGTGAGGAACAGTACCCAGGCCCAGTTAAAGCCCACGACCAACTAACTAACTAGCTAAATAAATAAATAAAATTAATTAAAAACATGGGGCATGAGTTTTAAATACTGTTGACATAATTAGACCCAATTAGAGTTTTGAGGATTTTGTTTTGAGTGATTTCAACTGTTTGTAAAGATCAACAAACATATGACCTTTATGCTTTTTCTTCAAGGTCTTCTAGATATGAAATTTAAGAATATTGATAGGAAAAAAGTCATTTAATTTTGTGATTATAATGTGGATCAATTGGACTACTTTATAAGTCTCAAATACAATATTGGATAGCTGATCATCTAATTTTTCCTATTTTTTGAAATATCTTGGTATCTCATTACCCTAAGAATTATTTTAATATTTATTTCCAAATGTACTAAATAAGACTGTAGAAGGATGAACTTTCCTGGAAGGTTGATGCAGTGATAAAATAGATTGTCATTGCGGGCACCAGCGGCTCTCCCTTGTCATCCTAGCTACTCAGGAAGCTGAGATCTGAGGATCACAGTTCGAAGCCAGCCTGGGCAGGAAAGTCCATGAGACCATCTCCAGTGAACCACCAGAAAACCAGAAGTGGCGCTGTGGCTCAAGTGGTAGAATGCTTGCCTTGAGCTGACAAGCCCATGGACAGCACCCAAGCCCAGAGTTCAAGCTCCGTGACTGACCCCCTCCATCCCCCCTCAAAAAAATTGTCACTATTCGTTCTCTTTTTTGTGTTGACCAAATTATCACATCATCGATTTAAAAAGATGTAAAAGAAGTCTGGAGACACAATCTTTGTAGGTTTCTTTCTTCTAAAAAAAAAAATTGTTGTTATAGTATTCATTGAGCGAAGGTGAAAATTCAGGATTTTCTACTTTCCACATAATGGCAAAGAGGATAATTGACAGAGAAGGCTTCACAGTTATTACACAAATCAATAGATGAATGCAGAGAACTAGATGGAAGCATTGTGGGCTGATAATGGGGTGAAATTAAGCATATAATTAAAATCTCAGGACCATGAGTCCTTGTCAGTACTGTGAATTGTCTCATCCTCCTGAATTGATGAGGGAACACATTGTATTTCTACAGACAAAGAGAAACAATCCACTTACTCGAGAGCAGGAGTGGGACTGTTTTGCACTCACCCTGTCAGGCTGTGTTAGACCTGAGAAATCACTTGGTAGGAGGTAGGACAGACACAGGCGTCTCACGGGCTGCCTGCAGCCCCCTCCCTGTGTTGTATTTTTGTATTGCTTGTGATGTTACAGCATCCAGATAGCACATGCCAAGAAGATTTCTTTTCATGACTGAATGTAACTGCATTTTAAGGATATCACAATTTTAGGCATTCATCAGTTGATAGGCATTGTGAATAATGTTGCTACAAACATTCATTACCCTTTTTTTTTTTTTAAAATATCTGTTCTTACCATACTTTTTTCTTTTTTCTTTCTTCTTCTTTTTCTTTTTTTCTTTTTTGCCAGTCTGGGGGTTTGAACTCAGGGCCTGGGCACTGTCCTTGACCTTCTTTTGCTCAAGGCTAGCTACCACTTGAGCCACAGCGCCACTTCTGGCTTTTTCTGTGTGTGTGGTTCCAAGGAGTCGAACCCAGGGCTACATGCAAGCAAGACAAGCACTTTACCAGAGAAGTCAAACCCAGGGCTCCATGCATGCAAGACAAGCACTCTACCACTAAGCCACATTCCCAGCCCTGTTCTTACCATACTTTGGCAACCAGGAAACTAAACTCTAGAGGTGGATTAATAAGCAGCCAGTTACCCAGATCACACACAAGTTAAAACGAGGTGAAGCCTGGGATGCAAAACAATGCAATTTCATTGTGGAACCTATATTGTTTAATGATGTGCTAGTTGATATTCAGTAACGCAGCCTCTCTTCCCTCTTTGCAAAGTTCCAATTTTGAGAACCAGCTGTTTGAATTTCACATTGTATAGCCTTCAGTGTCCCCTTCAAATTATTGCAGTTGTAGCCATGTAATGTAGCTGACAGTGTGTGTGTGTATTGGTTATAGTTTGGCTGTAGCTGCGATTCCTGAAGGGCTGCCCATTGTGGTCACGGTGACGCTAGCCCTTGGAGTCATGAGAATGGTGAAGAAAAGAGCCATTGTGAAGAAACTGCCTATCGTGGAAACCCTGGGTAAGGAAGGCACATTGCGCAATGACACTCTGAGCCAGGTCACCAGGAAACTTGGCCTTATACTTTATGGAATGTTCTAATGCTAAAGATAATTTTAAAATACCATCTGGCAAATAAAATCTTAAAAGTAAAATTAATAGTTTTGTTTTTTGGTGGTTGTGGGGCTTGAACTCTGGGCCTGGGCGCTGTCCCTCAGCCCTTCAGCTCAAGGTGATCTCTCTACCACTTGAGCCACAGTGCCACTTCTGGTTTTCTGGTGGTTTATTAGAGATAAGAGTCTCATGGACTTTGTTGCTCCTGCTGGCTTTGAACCGTGATCCTCAGATCTCAGCCTTCTGAGTAGCTAGGATGACAGGCATGAGCCACCAGCGCCTGGCCCAATAGTGCTATATTTTTTTTTGGGGGGGGGGGGTCCGGTCGTGGGGCCTGAACTCTGGGCCTGGGCGCTGTCCCTCACCTCTTCAGCTCAAGGCTAGCTCTATACCACTTGAGCTACAGCGTCACTTCTGGCTTTTTTCTTTCTTCTTATGTGGTGCTGAGGAATCGAACCCAGGACCTCAGGCATGCAAGGCAAGAGCTCTACCACTGAGCCACCTTCCCAGCCCCAATAGTGGTATTTTTTGACATGTCAAGGAAAATAATTTGTTATTACAGATCTTGAGTTGAATTTGATTATAAGAAAGTAACATATACAATCTATAATGCTGTCGCATAACTTCCTGATATCCTGTAAAACTTGCTTTTTTTTTTTTTAAGAAAATGAGGCTATTCAAAATGTATTAAATTTAATTTCTAGTTTGCAATTTAGTATTGAGAAGGTCAAAGACCTTGGAAAATGTTTTTGAAAAAATTGCAGAGTTGATATATAAGACTCCTCCAGAGCTGGGAAGTTGGCTCAGTGGTAGAGCACTTGCCTTGCATGCATGAGGCATGCAAGGGTTCCATTCCTCAGCACCACATAAGCAGAAAAAAATGGAAGTGGTGCTGTGGCTCAGGTGGTAGAACACTAGCCTTGAGCTGAAGAACTGAGGGACCGCACCCAGGCCCAGAGTTCAGGCCCATGACTGACCAAAAAAAAATAAAGAATCCTCCAGAGTCAGGTGCTTACGCCTGTCATCCTAGCTATTCAGGAGGCTGAGATCTGAGAATCATGGTTCAAAGCCAGCCTGGGCAGGAAAGTCCTTGAGACTCTTATCTCCAATAAACCACCAGAAAACCAGAAGTGGCACTGTGGCTCAAGTGGTAGAGTGCTAGGCTTAAGCTGAAGAGCTGAGGGACCATGCTTAGGCCCAGAGTTCAAGCCCCATGACCAACCAACCAAAAAAAAAAAGAACCCTCCAAACTTCCCCAATTATGTTCTATAAAATTGTTATATAAAGTAATACGAAGTAACTGTAGAAACTTAAATAATAAGAAATTCAGTTTTTATCTTTAATTTCAGAAACTTTACCTTATGACGAACCAAGCATAATGTGAAAAATTAAAATGATCAGAGGAGTTCTCAGTAAAATTCAGAGAACTAGGACAAGGTTCTAGTCTGATTTATTTTCTGATTCAACTCGTTTTTCTCCTTGGTTCCTTTGATGACACACAGTGATTTGTTCTTTAGGCTGCTGCAATGTGATTTGTTCAGATAAAACTGGAACATTGACGAAGAATGAGATGACCGTCACTCACATATTCACTTCAGATGGAGTGCATGCTGAGGTACTTATAAGTTTAAGTGTGTTTTCCCACCAACAGTTTGCTTTTGTTGAGGTTACTTTGAGCAGGTTGGCTTAAATGTTTGATGTAGGGTAATTGCTTTGAGTTCCTTGTAAATGTTAATATGTGAGAGGAATATAGTGTTATGTGCATTTAAATTTAGTTCCATATCGAGATTTTCATGATTTACCTGTCAGTTTTATATTGTAAGCAGAGGACAGTATCTGTTTAAGTTCATCACTAGCTGAAAGTGAAGTCTATATTTGGTCTAATTACTAACAAATATTCTTTTATTTTTTTTTTCCTCCGGTTGTGGGGCTTGAACTCTGGGCTTGGGTGCTGTCCTTGTGCTCTTCAGCTCAAGGCAAGCGCTCTACCACTTGAGCCACAGTGCCACTTCCAGTTTTCTAGTGGTTTATTAGATATAAGAGTCTCGTGGACTTTCCTGCCCGGGCTGGCTTTGAACCGTGATCCTCAGGTCTCAGCCTCCTGAGTAGCTAGGATTATAGTTATGAGCCACCAGTGCCTGGCTACAAATATTCTTTTTTTTTTTTTTTTTTTGGTTAGTCATGAGTCTTGAACCCACCCTGAGTCATGTCACTGAGCTTTTTTTTCCTTGACCCTGGGGCTTGAACTCGGGGCCTGGGCGCTGTCCCTGAGCCTATCTGTGCTCAAGTCTAGCCTTCTACCACTTAAGCCACAGTGTCACATCCAGCCTTTTCTGTATATGTGGCACTGAGGAATCGAACCTAGGGCTTCAGGCATGCTAGGCAAGCACTCTACTACTAAGCCACCTTCCCAGCCACCGAATATTCTTTCAGATACTTTTCACGGCTCAATACCTTCTCTGCCAATGTCAGGTTGTAGAAAGTGAAGTGAATGAGCACAGTGCAGGGGAGTGTGTGGCTCCTCTGTCTAATATTTGTACTGTCACCCCCATTTCCTGTTTTATAGGTTACTGGAGTTGGCTACAATCAGTTTGGGGAAGTGATTGTCGATGGTGACGTTGTTCACGGATTCTATAACCCAGCTGTTAGCAGAATTGTTGAGGTAGGCTTTTATTCTCCAAGAAGGTAACTTTCATGGTCATGATTTAAGATTCAGCGTTAGGTTCATAGAGTGTATGCATTTCTCTTAGGCCGGCTGTGTGTGCAATGACGCTGTAATTAGGAACAACACTCTCATGGGAAAGCCAACCGAAGGAGCCTTAATTGCTCTGGCAATGAAGGTACGTATGATTTCTTTGACATATGAAACATCCCCTGATAACAGAATGTAAGGCCAATGAATTTAGTATTACTGTTTTTTTTTAGGTTATCTAGAGGAGAAGAGTCACATTTCATTGTGTTTATTGCCTTTTGGGGACCAGTTTGATTTCCGTAAATACAAGCATATGACTTCAGTATAACCTTCTTCCTTAAACACATGGAATAGAGTCATGAGCAGGGATGGATCTGTTCTTTTAGGAAATTATATTCTTTAATATTGAGGTCTGTCTGTGAAAAGCTTTATCATTATGTCCAGTTGCTGATAAATGTTAACTTTTATGTGATTAAAAGGCAACATTCTGCATTATTCCCATGTAAAGATAATTTCTGTCTTCCCTTTTCCTGTAGCAGTGTCTAAAAATGAATGCAACTTATCATGTGTGTTGGTGGGAATGCTGTTCTCCGTAGTTTGAGAAAGCATGAGACTTGTGAAGCAGGGTACTTCTAAATGAGGTTACTGGAAATGGGAACCAATAAATTGCAGATTATTGTAGTATTCAATTGGATAAAGTAAGCAAACTCACTTATTTATTCATTCACTCACTTATTTTCATGATTCTGAGACTCAAAGCCAGGCTTTTTACAGGCTAGGCAAATATACTAACTCTGTGTTCAACATCAAGCCTGATGGTAGGATATTTGTTTTTTCTATAGAACACTTTTTTTTTTTGGTAATTATTTGGTCTCCTTGTAACTAAAACATACAACCTTTTTTGTGGGGGAGCAGAGGAGGCTGCTGGGGACTGAACACAGGGATTTGTTGTGCATGGTAGGCAAACACTTCTACTTGAGCCATGCCCTCAAGTCCTTCTGCTTTTAGTTTGTTGTTGAGATAGTCTTGTGCTTTGGGTCTATTAATTTATTGCCTTTACTTCTGGCCTTGCTCGAATTATATGTGTGCATTACCATGTCTGATTTGTATTTGAGATAGGTGTTACTAACTTTTGCTCAGACAGGCCTTGAGCCATGATCCTCCTACATCTGCTTCCCAAGTAGCCAACATGCTTGGCTTGTTCTTGAGATAAGGTCTTGCTACCTTTTGTCTAAGCTGGCCTCAAGCCATGATCCTCCTAACAGCTTCTTGGGTAGATGTGATTATTGACATGAATTATGCCTGGCTCAGTATAGTGTTTTATTTTTTTATTTTTATTTTTTTTTTAGGGTTTTTTTTTTTTTTATTGTAAAGCTACTATACAGAGGGTTACAGTTACATGAGTGAGGTAATGAGTACACTTCCTCTTGAACATTGTTACCCCCTCCATTGTTTTCCCCCTACCATCCCCTCCCTTCCCCGAGGTTCTTTTTTTTTTTTTTTTTGATTGTGATTAAATGATTACATAATTTCAAAGTCACAAGTTCATTCTAACTTCCCTGGAGCAAATTGTCTACCACAGTCTGTAATATATAACAGTGTTCACATGTTATATACCATATTTGTGATCAGCAGCATGGGGATATTTAGTAGTGGTTCAACCAGATGAGCGGGAGTTCTTTGTTTCTTAAGTCCTGTTAGTTTTGTCGTATCACCTAACCTTTTGGATTTAGCATCCACTTATCAGGGAGACCATGTACCGTTTGTCTCTTCGTTCTTGGCTTACCTCGCTCAACATGATTCCTTCTAGCTCCATCCATTTCCCTGCAAATGCCATTATTTTGTCATTTCTAATGGCTGCATAATATTCCATTGTGTATAGATACCACAATTTTTGGATCCATTCATCTGTGGTGGGGCATCTAGGTTGTTTCCATATCTTAGCTATTGCGAACAGTGCTGCAATAAACATGGAGGTGCACGTGTCCTTGTATATTGGTTCCTGTTGTTCAGGGTAGATGCCTAGAAGTGGTATGACTGGGTCGTAAGGGAGGTCAATCTTTAGCTTTCTAAGGACCCTCCAGACTGCTTTCCAAAGTGGTTGTATAAGTGTACATTCCCACCAGCAGTGTAATAGGGTTCCTCTTTCTCCACATCCCCTCCAGCATTTGTCGTTGGTTGATTTGTGGATGTGGGACATTCTGACTGGGGTAAGGTGGTGTCTCAGGGTTGTCTTTATTTGCATTTCCTTCACCACCAGGGATGATGAACATTTCCTCATGTGTTTCTTTGCCATTTTTATTTCTTCATTTGAGAAGTCCCTCTTTAGTTCCCTTGCCCATTCAGTAATTGGTTTGTTAGGTTTGGGAGGGATTAGTTTCTTGAGTTCCCTGTATATACAGGATGTTAACCCCTTGTCTGATATATTGCTGGTAAATATTTTTTTGTTGTTGGTTGTCTTTCTAGCTTAGTTGCGATAGATTTAGCTGTGCAGAAGCTTTTTATTTTAAGGTAGTCCCATTTGTCGAGTCTCTCTCCAACTTGTTGTGACCCTGGGACTCTGTTCAGGAAGTTCCTTCCTGTGCCTATTAGTTCAAGTGTCTCTCCTACTCTGTCCTGCAGTAGTTTCAGAGATTCAGGTTTAATGTTAAGGTCTTTAATCCATTTTGAGTTGATGTTGGTGCATGGTGATAGGCTGGGGTCCACTTTTAGTTTTCTGCATGTGGCTGCCCAGTTTTCCCAGCACCAGCGGTTGAAGAGGCTGTGTTTCTTCCATTGTATGTCTTTGGCTCCTTTGTCGAATATCAGCTGGCTGTAGGCCTGTGGATTTATATCTGGATCTTCTATTCTGTTCCATTGGTCTTCGGGTCTGTTTTTGTGCCAGTACTATGATGTCTTTGTGATTATAGCTCTGTAGTAGAGTTTGAAGTTCGGCATGGATAGCCCTCCCATATTGTCTTTATCCCCTAGAATTGTTTTGGCTATTCTAGGTCTTTTGTTGTTCCATATAAATTTTTGGACTGTTTTCTGTATTTCAGTGATGTACGTCATTGGGATTTTAATAGGAATTGCATTGAATTTGTATATTAGTTTTGGAAGTATCACCATCTTTACTATATTAAGTCGGCCTATCCAGGAGCATGGGAGGTCTTTCCATTTCCTAGTGTCTTCTGCAATTTCTTTCTTTAACTTTTTATAGTTCTCATTAAATAGTTCTTTTACATCTTTGGTTAGGTTAATTCCTAAATATTTTATTTTTTGGGAGGTTATTGTGAATGGGGTTGCTCCCTTTATTTCCCTCTCTTCCTGTGCGTTATCAGTGTATAGGAAGGCAACTGATTTTTGTGGGTTTATTTTGTATCCTGCTATTTTGCCGAAGTGACTTATGATTTCTAAAAGTTTGGGGATGGAGTTTTTGGGATCGTGGAGGTATAGTATCATGTCGTCTGCAAAAAGGGATAGTTTAACTTCTTCTTTCCCTATGCAGATCCCTTTAATGTCTTTTTCTTGCCTTATTGCCCTGGCTAAGGGTTCTAGGACTATGTTGAAGAGGAGTGGAGACAGTGGGCATCCTTGCCTTGTTCCTGTTTTTAGGAGGATTGGTTGTAGCTTTTCCCCATTAAGTATAATATTGGCTATTGGTCTGTCATAAATGGCTTTTATTGTTTTTAGAAATGTTCCTTCTATTCCTATTTTCTCCAGAGCTTTTAGCATGAATGAATGTTGAATTTTATCAAAGGCCTTTTCTGCATCTGTGGCGATAATCATGTGATTCTTGACCTTGGCTCTGTTGATATGCTGGATTACATTTATTGACTTACGTATGTTAAACCATCCCTGTGTCTCTGGGATGAAGCCTACCTGATCATAGTGTATTATTTTTTTTATGTGTTTCTGGATTCTGTTAGCTAGAATCTTGTTAAGGATCTTTGCATCTGTGTTCATCAAGGAGATTGGCCTGTAATTCTCCTTTTTGGTTGGGTCTTTGCCTGGTTTGGGGATGAGTGTGATATTGGCTTCGTAGAATGAGTTTGGGATAGCTCCCTCCTTCTCTGTTTCTCTGAAGAGCTTGAGGAGTATGGGTATTAGTTCTTCTTTAAAGGTCTTATAGAATTCTGCTGTGAATCCATCTGGTCCTGGGCTTTTTTTTGTTGGAAGACTTTTGATAGCTTCCTGTATCTCATTATAGGATATTGGCCTATTTAATTGGTTAACTTCTTCTTTGCTCAGTTTGGGTAACTTGTATTTCTCTAAAAATGCATCCGTTTCCGCCAGATTTTCTTCCTTTAGAGAGTATAGCTTTTGAAAGTAGTCTGTTAGAATTGTTTGGATATCTTGGGTATGTGTTGTGATGTTTCCCGTGGCATCCCTAATCCTATTAATATGGGTTTCCTCTCTTCTTTTTTTAATTAATCTTGCCAACGGGCCATCAATTTTGTTTATTTTTTCAAAGAACCAGCTTTTTGTTTGGTTTATTTTGGTTATGGTTTTCTGATTTTCTAATTGGTTAATCTCTGCTCTCAATTTGGTTATCTGGCTTCGTCTAGTAGCTTTAGGTCCCATTTTTTCTTGTTTTTCTAGCTGTTTTAGTTGCAACATGAGATTATTTACTTGGTCTGTCTCCATTCTCTTGATGTGGGCACTGAGGGCAATAAATTTGCCCCTCAGGACTGCTTTTGCTGTGTCCCACAAGTTTCTTTGTGAGGTGTTTTCATTTTCATTGAGTTGTAGGAAATGCTTTATTTCTTCTCTGATCTCTTCTGTTACCCAGGCCTTGTTAAGGAGTGTGCTATTCAATTTCCATGTATTATAGAAATTTCTGCGGTATGCTTTGTTATTGAGAGCTAGCTTGATTCCACTGTGGTCAGATAGGATACAGGGGATTATGTCGATCCCTTTGTATTTGCTTAAGTTCCTTGCATGAACTATGATATGGTCTATTTTGGAGAAAGTTCCATGAGCTGCTGAGAAGAATGTGTACTGTGTTGTTTTAGGGTGAAATACTCGGTAGATGTCAGTTAATTCCGCTTGAAGTATGGCCTCACTTAATTCGGTAGCTTCTTTGCCAATCCTCTGGTTGGTAGACCTGTCCTTTGGTGAGAGTGGCATGTTAAAGTCTCCTAGTATTATCGTATTGGGATCTATTTTATTCTGTAAGTTTGAGAGCATTTGTTTAACATATCTGGGTGCACCGATATTTGGGGCATATAAGTTGATGATGGTTATATCCTCCTCTTGGAGTGTTCCCTTTATTAATATGTAGTGTCCGTCCTTGTCTTTCTGTACTGATTTTAATGAAAAGTTTATTTTGTCAGATATCAGGATAGCTACACCTGCTTTCTTATTGGGGGAATTTGATTGGTAGATCCTTTTCCACCCCTTCACTCTGAGTTTGTATGTTTGGCTGAGAGGTGGGTCTCCTGAAGGCAACAGATGGATGGGTCTTGTTTTCTGATCCAGTCCTCAGTTCGTTTTCTTTTAATTGGCGAATTCAGCCCATTTATATTAAGACAAAGTATAGAGAGATGCATTGTTGTCCCTGCCATTCCGTTTTCCTAAGTTTTTCTTCTTTCCTTTCCTCCTGTGCTTGCTCAGTTAGACTTTGAGTAATGCCTGTTTGGGGCAGGTCCCAGTTCCTGGTTGCTTTCCTCAGGTTGTGTCCCCCCTCTTAGAATTCTTTGTAATGCTGGCTTAATGTTTATGTATTCATTTAGTTTTTCTTTGCTATTAAAAGTTTTCAGTTCTCCATCGAATGTGAATGCTAGCTTTGCCGGGTATATCAGTCTGGGTTGGCAGTTATTGGCTCTCAGGGCTCGTATGGTGCTTTCCCAGGCTTTTCTTGCATTCATTGTTTGTGTGGAGAGATCTGCAGTGATTCTAATTTTTTTCCCGTTGTAGTATAGCTCCTTCTTCATTTTTGCTGCATGCAGGATTGTTTCCTTATTATTCAGATCCATCATTTTTACTATAATGTGTCTAGAAGTGTTTCTCCTGGGATCTTGCTTGTTGGGTGTTCGATAAGCTTTTGTGATGTAGTTAAGATGGTCGTTTTTGAGGTGGGGAAAATTTTCATTGACTATCTTGTTAAATAGGTGTTGCATTCCCTTGCTCTGGAATTCCTCACCTTCGTCCACTCCGATTATGCGAAGGTTAAATTTTTTAGCATTATCTGCTTGCTCTTGAATTTCCCTTTGGTTTAATTTGAGTGATTTTTCCATATCTGTCACTTTTTGGTCCAGTTGGTGTATTCTGTCTTCTGTATCTGACACTCTACCTTCCATTTCATTCACTCTGTTGACTGTGGCTTCTATTGTGGTTTGCATGGTGGAAATGGATCCCTTTATGGATTCAATGTTGGTTCTCAGAGTACTGATCTCACCTCTCAATGAGGTGAGATCAGTATGTATTACCTCTAATTTGGCGTTTATCTCACTTCTTACTGAGGTTTGTGCAGCTTCTATTTTTGCATCCAACTTTTGTTTGATATCCTGTATATCTTTTGATAGTTCATCCTTGTGCTCTTTCAATTTCTGATCCATTTCTCGCTTTATTTCTTGAGTCATTGCCTCCAGCAACCCTTGGATGTAGCTTTTGTCTTCCATTCCTGCTTTGCTCCCACTGGGGCTCTCCCCTGCGTGGCTGCTGGCTTTTGAGGTGAGCTTGCTGTCCTGGGTAGTGGTAAACCTTGTGATTTTTCTCTGTGATTTTCGCATGGGGGTTCAGGAGACTGCTCTTCAATCTTGTTTTGGTGTGTCTGTCTTTGCTTGGTTGCTGATTCTGTATTGGTAGAGAGAGTCTGTGCCTGATCTGGATTCTGTTGGGAGCCTATTTCCAGCTGCTATTCTGACTTACTTAGGATTCTCAGCTCTCTGCTGTAGATTGCTGGCAATTCCCGCCTTTGGAAGGGTTGAGCAGCCTAGACTGCTTGTGTTTGCTCCTGCGGGTGCTCTTGGGAAGATCAGATGCTCTGGATGCACTCTCCCAAATACTGGAGTCTGCTATGGGCTCCTGATGTGTTTTTGTTTGTTTGTTTTGGGCTGGTTGTGGGCTTGAACTCTAGGTTTGGGTGCTGTCCCTCAGCTCTTCAGCTCAGGGCTGGCACCCTACCATTTGAGCCACAGCCCCACTTCTGACCCTTTTTGTTTTGTTCAGGCGCCGGTCCCCGGGCCTGGTTCCGGCCCCAGCCTGGAGCGCGCTCGTTAGGCCTGTGCTAATGTGTATACCACCTAGGTTATGCAGCCTGAAGGACACAGTTCAAATTTCTTCTACTGTTGGTAGTCTTGACCCAGGGGCGCTGTTCCTGGCTTGAGCATTTAAGCTCCCTTCCAGGCGCGCTCTTGCTCTGGCCTGGCCAGCAGAGTGTGCTCCACCGGCTGGTGGAGCTCTCGAACAGTTCCCAGTTTTAGTGGGTCCTGTGGTCCGGGTGTTGGGGTAGGGAGTCTAGGTCAGGGTCTGGGGATTCCCTCCAGCTCTGGTCTCCCTTGATGGATTCACTGTCCCCTGTTGGGTACTCACCCTGTAGGTCGTCAGTTGTTGTTGCAATCCGAGTTCAGTTGGGGTGGTTGCGGGCTGGGTTGGGCGGCCCCCCGCCGGGTCGTTGCGATTGCGATTGGGTGGGTGGTCTGCCGACAGGTCCCTTTGTGGCGCTGCTGGTGCCGGGCGGCTTTGGCGGGATGGAGCCTCTCCGCTCCGGTGGAGAGTGAGGGGTGGGGGTGGGATCCTCGTGGAGACTCCCGGCTGGTAGGTTTCTCTGTTCCTGGCGATCCGCTGTTCTGCAATCTGGTACCTGGTGATCTGCAAGCAGCCCCCTGTGTCTCTGTGGCTCGGGCAGCCCCCGCCGGGCCGGCTGGCCGGCGGCTTGGCGCACTGCCGCGCGGCCAGGAAAGGTTGGGGGAGGGGTCTTCGCTCTTCTCTGTTCTGAATTTCTTCTTTTCCTCTCTTTCTTTTTTTGTTATTTTCCACCTCTGGTTTTTCTCTGAGTGTTCGTCTTTTTGTTGTTGTCGGTCTCTTGGGGAGATTAAGCGTTGGAACTCGAACTCTCTTTTTGGTTGGAGAGAGCTGTGGCGTTTCCCTACTGCCCCGTCGCCATCTTGGTCCCCCCTCCCAGTATAGTGTTTTAAAAGATACTCAAGGGATTAGACATTGTGGTGCACAACTGATCCCAGCTAACTAGGAAACAAGTAGGAGAATCACCGTGTAAGATTGGCCCTGGGCGCAAACATGAGACCTTTTCTTAAACTAAAATGTTGAGAATGTGGCTTGCTGGTAGAGTGCTTGCCCAGCATGCATGAATCCCTGGGTTTGAGTCCTCAGTGCCACTTTCACAGAAAAAGCTGGAAGTGGCGCTATGGCTCAAGTGGTAGAGTGCTAGCTTTGGGCAAAAGAAGCTCAGGGACAGCACCGAGGCCCTGAGTTCAAGCCCCAGGACTGGCAAAACAATGAATAAAGCAAAAAGTGATGGGACGTAAGGGGAAGCATAGTCGCATAGGAAGCACAAGGTGTGGATTTTAAACATCCCAGAACTCCTCCCTTTACCCCGCAAAAAGGAAACCAAAAAGATACGCAAAAGAGTGACTCAGAGACCAACTATTTCCTGTATCCTGCTTAACAAAGTTTTAGCTTCTTGAAGAGGTGAAGTGCAAAACCACCTTATATGAGGTCATTTTAGAGTGGAGTTAAATACTGATATTTTTTAAATAAATGAAAGTAGACTCAGTTACATCCAACACCTTGAGCCATGTGTAAGCACAGTGTAAATTCAGAGCTAGGAGGAGGGCTTCTAGGGCTCAGAAGGGGAAGGGGGGTCAAGCTGATGGAAAGATCTGGAATGAAAGCATGTAGGGATAAGCATAGACTGGATTTTGGCTCACATGTTAACTAATGTGGATGACATGAAAGATAGCTGAGTAGAAAGGAAGATGGCTCACTAGGCTGCATCGAGGGATTTCCACAAGACCCTCAAATGCTAGAGAGAGCCGAAACACTACAGTAGCAAACAAAAAGCACTCACCTGTGGAATTGTGAGTCGTTTAAAAGTATCTTGGATATTTGGAAAAAGCTACAAAGGGCACTGGGATGGAGAGCCAGCACTGTGACATTGGTTCTTGCCAGTAGATAAAGCAGTGGAGGGGGAAGACCAGGCTTGTTGCAAGACAGTTTTGAGGCCCCATCGAGAGAGGGGTTGAATCTGAAGGTTTTATTGGTTATAAAACGTCACACTCAGTGTCGGACAGGACCATCTTTCTTTCTTTTTTTTTTTTTTTGGGTCCGGTCGTGGGGCCTGAACTCTGGGCCTGGGCGCTGTCCCTCAGCTCTTCAGCTCAAGGCTAGCGCGCTCTACCACTTGAGCCACAGCGCCACTTCCGGCTTTTTTTTTTCTTTTTGCTTATGTGGTGCTAAGGAATCGAACCCAGGGCCTCAGGCATGCAAGGCAAGCACTCTACCACTGAGCCACCTTCCCAGCCCGCACCTTTATTTCTATCTTGCTTCCTTTTAGAATTTGAGCTGGTAGAAAGATTAATATACAGTCAGCAGTGAAGGCCTGGTGAACACACAGTACACTTCTGTATCTACACACTCCCAGGCTCTCCTGTTGAAGAGGTACGCTGCTGTGCAGGGAAATGCAGTAGATATGGATGGGACATGGCTGTTATTCCTCCATTGTTTGAAAATAATCCAGACACCTCTTAACCAGATAAGCTATACACCATGACTTTGTTGCTTGTTAAAGGAAAAGAAAATCAGCACATATTAGATAGGATTAACTTACTTTATTTTTGCCTTTTAGATGGGTCTGGATGGACTTCAACAAGATTATATCAGAAAAGCTGAATACCCTTTTAGTTCTGAGCAAAAGTGGATGGCTGTTAAGTGTGTGCATCGAACTCAGCAGGTATCTCTCTCTCTCTCTTTCTCTTTCTCTCCTCTGCCTCCTCTGTTTCCTCTGTCTCCTCTCTCTCCTCTCCCTCCTCTCTCTCGTTTAGTGGAGATAAGAGTCTCATAGACTTTCCTCCCAGGCTGGCTTTGAACTGCAATCCTCAGATCTCAGCCTCCTGAGAGTATTCAGGATGACAGATGTGAGTCACCAGCGCCCAGCATGTCCTACCTTAAGAACAAACAAAATCATACTGTTTTGTAGAAGAGTGGTTCCCAAATATATGTAGAATTACAAACTGGCAAAAATGACATGTACTAAGCAATCACTGTGTTTTTTGGGTGCTTTCTAAATTTTTATAGCTAGTGTAGAGAGTTCTGTTGTCTACAGTATATAATTATTCAGAGTTACTGTTACCAAATTGTGCTTTCATTACATAGATTAGGCTGGATGCAGTGGCTCACAATTGTAATCCTAGTCACTTGGGAGCAGAGGTCAGAGGATCAAGGTTCAGGGTCAGCCTGGGGGAAAAAAGTTCATGAGACTTCATCTCAGACAGTGACTAGACATCATCGAAGCTATGGGGAAAACACAAACAGAATTTTAGTCCATACTTACCAGGGATTGGAGAGGGGCTTGGGATTGGAGAGGGGCTTGGGATTGGAGAGGGGCTTTAGGTTTTCATTAATAGTTTTGAGTGTTATTTTTTGTTTTCGTGAACTGGGAATTGAACCCAAGGAGGCCTTATACATACAGAGCTGAATATTCTGCTATGCTTAAAAGAAAAAAATGCCTGGCAATGCCTTCAATTACAGGATGGTTATGAGAATTTAATAGGATTGCAAGTGAGTAGGTAGACATAGCTATATAAACAATAACCAATAAAGAGCTCAAACGATTGTCTGCAGGTTAATATTGCATCTCTTTCCTTTCCCTGTTGCGTTCTGAAGAGCCTTGTCCCAGATTTCACGAGCATTTCATTTGAGGCTTGGTATAGTGCTGCCCTCAATGTCTGCAAACATGTAGGGCAGATTCTGTTTTCTGTAGAAGAAGAGAGAAAGCTCTCGCATGAGTTGTTTCGTTTGTTTTGCCCCTTGGCACGCGCTCTCCCCCAACCCCCAGTGAGTTTTTAAATCTTCAGAGTTCAAGTGCCACTTGGAAAATTAGGCTTGAGCAAAACTGCCCTAGGGATTAGGAAAAACACACGTCACTTGTTTTGTATCCAAGTTAAATGACACTTGTATTTGGTCTATTTTTTTCTTCTTAGGACAGACCAGAGGTTTGTTTTATGAAGGGTGCCTATGAACAGGTGATTAAGTACTGCACTACATACCTCAGCAAAGGGCAGAACCTGGCACTTACCCAGCAGCAGAGAGAGCTGTACCAACAAGAGAAGGTACGCATGGGCTCAGCAGGACTCAGAGGTAAGCCCATCTCAGTGTCATTCTCGGAATGGAAAGTTCCGTTCTAACTGCAGAGGAGTCCGTACTTCACAGCCAGGCCATCCGATTCTGCTCCGGGCTTCATAGAACCCTCCTAACTAGCCCCTAAAAGATGGAAAGTCAAAGCTGGGAGCTGGTCGTAGTTACGCAGGAGGCTGAGATCGGAGGATCCAGGGTCAACACCAGCCCAGGCAGACCACACCAGGCCCTCTCTCCCAGGGATACCATGTGCAGGACGGAGCGGCAGGAGTACACAGCTGGCTCTTCCCTTCTAAATAGTTACTGGCTTAGGCAGACTGTATGAAGTCAGTCTCCAAAGAAATTGGAAGAGTTGCTGTTTGTTTTTTTTTCTCTAGTCCTGAGGTTTAAACTCAGGGCCTGGTTGCTGTCCCTGAGCTTCTTTAGCTCAAGGCTTGGACTCTACCACTTGAGCCATAGCATTACTTTTTACTGTGGTACTGAGGGATTAATCAAACCCAGGGCTTCCGTGCATGCTGAGCAAGCACTCTACCACTAAGCCACATTCCCAACCCTTTTTTTTTTAAATTTAAATTTTTATTGTAAAGGTGATATACAGAGAGGTTACAGTTACATAAATAAGGTAGTGACTACATTTCTTTCTGGACAGTGTTACTCCCCTCCTTCATTTTCTCCCACTTTTTCTCCCCTGTGCCCCCAAGTTGTATAGTTCATTTCCAACATAGTGTCTAGTGAGTATCACTGTTGAATTGGTTCACCCTTTGTCCCACCCTTTCTGCGATTCCCCTTCCCTTCCCTTCTGTACCAGTCTCTTTCTTAGCACCAAGGACTGTCAGACGGCTTTTCCTTCCCAGGGAAAGCCTTAGGGTCCCGCATCTATGTAAATAGTTAGGTAGATCACTCTTACACTGGAAAAACAGAAGTTACTTGCCTCTGACTTTGGTTTTCCATTTCTCTATACTGTCTGCTTGAATAAGAATAAATACTTCCTTAGATCTCTCTGGAACTTTTCAGTCTCACCATGAGGTACTTAGGGTTAGTGTGCTTTGGGATAGTTTTTGATGTGCCAGGCTAATAATTCCCCAGATACAGGCACATCCCTTTGGTTCATAAGGGAGATTACGAGAGGTTGCAGAATTCTGAGAGTAAGCTAAATGACACACGGAAAATGGACAGGATTTTCTTATGTCTTACTGTCCAAAGGTAACAGGAAACCATAAATAATGACATGATGGTGTCCAGTATTATAAACTTTTTGTTGTTGTTGTCGGTCGTGGGGCTTGAACTCTGGGCTTGGACACTGTTAGGTTTTTAAAAAGAGGTAGGCGAGTAAGAACAGCACCACGCACGTGGTATTCAGGTAAGGAGTAGGTTTATTTATTGTTCTGGCTGGCACCAGGCCACGTTGGCCCTTCTTTCGGCTGGGAAAGGCCTGGGAAAGGGCTGAGAAAGAGCTAGAAAAGAGAAGAGAGAGCTGGGAAAGACCTGGGAAATAGAGTGAGAAAGAGAGAGCTGGGAAAGAGAGCTGGGAAAAAGAGAGCTGGGAAAGAGAGTGTGTAGGCCTGGGCTAGGCCTTATCTAGGGTATGGGCGGAGAAAGGTGTGGCCACATCAAATTCAGATGTGACCTCAGCTGGTGCAGATGTGACCTCTTCCAGGTGTGCCAGTTGCCTAGCTAACACAGGTACTGGGTGAGGACTTTGCTGTGAGGAGGGTGGAGTCTGCTCACCATCTAGGAGTGGACCTTACAGACACTGTCCCTCAGCTTTTCAGCTCAAGACAAACGCTCTTCCACTTGAGCCACAGCACCACTTCCAGTTTTTGGTAATTAATTGGAGATAAGAATCTCACAGGCTTTCCTGCCTAGGTTGATTTTTGAGCCACAATCCTCAGATCTCGGTCTCCTCATTAGCTAGGATGACAGGCATGAGCTACTGGTGCCCATGCATTATATATTCTTACAGAACAAAGGTTGTAAGAAATGCCTGTTAATGTTAAGGAGAGAATGAAAGAATCCAAACTTACTTGGTACTAATGATCTTCTAACCACTGTTACACAACCCTTGTCTTCCACAGTTTGCCATGTTTGAAATTATAGGCTGTGTATAATTAATACAGCTTTCCCTCCATGCTGTTGAATTTTCCTTGGAAACCTATGAAATGGAAAGATAAAGATATTTGGTGTTGCGTTCAAAGGCCTATCTGCTTAAAATTGACTTAGTAAAGGTTGATGAACTCTAAACAGTTGGTTGTGTTTAACAAAGTTGCAGTAGTTTTTGTGCAAAGCAGCTGCAAGAAATTGGTTTATAGGGGCTGGGAAGGTGGCTCAGTGGTAGAGTGCTTGCCTTGCATGCATGAGGCCCTGGGTTCAATTCCTCAGCACCACATAGCAGAAAAAAAAGTTGGAAGTGGCGCTGTGGCTCAAGTGGTAGAGCTCTAGCCTTGAGGTAAAGAGGGGAGGGACAGCGCCCAGACCCAGAGTTCAGGCCCACAACCGGACAAAAACCAAACAAACAAACAAAGAAATTGGTTTATAAAAACCATCTTCAGCCAGGTGCCAGTGGCTCACGCCTGTCATTCTAGCTACTCAGAAGGCTGAGATTCTGAGGATCGTGATTCAAATCCAGCCCCGGAAGGAAAGTCCATGAGACTCTTATCTCCAATTAACCACTTAAAAGTGGAAGTGGTGCTATGGTTCAAAGTAGTAGAATGCTGGGCTGGGAAGGTGGCTCAATGGTAGAGCACTTGCCTTGCATGCATGAGGCCCTGGGTTGGTTCTATTCCTCAGCACCACATATGCAGGGAAAAAAAAGCCAGAAGCGGTGCTGTGGCTCAAGTGGTAGAGCGCTAGCCTTGAGCTGAAGAGCTGAGGGACAGCACCCAGAGTTCAGGCCCACGACTGGACGCCCCCCCCCCCCCTCCAAAAAAAAAAAAAAAAAAAAAGAAAAAGAAAAAAAGTAGTAGAATGCTAGCACAAAGAGGCTCAGGGAGGCGCCCAGGTCCTGAGTGCAAGCCCCAGGACTGGCAAAAGAAAAAAGAAAAAAAGATCTTCATTCTCTCTCTCTTGCCTTTTCTGTTTAACAGTTCTTTAGTTTTATTCCTTTTCATTTTTGATAGCTTAAAGCAACTCCATATCTAGACCCATTAAATTGTAATGTCCTAGCATATAGTAACTTTTGAATTTTATAAGATTGTTTAATAGCTACAAATGAATTCATAGTTAGTCTAAAATGATTGTCAGCTAAATTCTAATGTTTTGTGACTCACATTTTCTGGTTGGGATTCTGTTATTGTTTCCTAAGTTCTTGCTTTGGCTTCTGGTCCTGAGCTGGGTCAGCTGACATTCCTTGGCTTGGTGGGAATCATCGATCCTCCTAGAACTGGTGTGAAAGAAGCTGTTACAACACTCATTGCCTCAGGAGTGTCGATAAAAATGATCACTGGAGACTCCCAGGAGACTGCAGTTGCAATCGGTATAGCTAGCTGCTTCCTTTGGTTCCTAGTAGTTTTCCTTGAAATGCTGCAGTGCACTTGAGTGAACCCTGGGCACCATGCATGCTTATGTCATGCTGAGGCTGTGTGATTACAATTGATGCACTTTTTTTTTTTTTTGCCCAGACTTTATATAAAATTATGGGAAAGCTGATTATAGTTTTTTTTTTAAAAGAATATTGAGAAGTTATAACCAAGTCTTTATGAAATCACTTTATTCACAGAAAGATGATTGATTGTCACTTCATAATCCCATCAGTTGTAAGCTACACTTAACCTGATTGGGCTTCTTTTAGTTCTTAGATTTTACTGGATTAAATAGTGAAATTTCTTAAATTTAAACAAAAACCATAGTCAGGACTTAGGATAAATTCAAATGGTTTTGTGTGACTGATAGTATGTTTTGTGATTTTTATTTTTTATTTTTTGGCCAGGGGGTTGGGAGTAGGGGATCGGGGGCTTGAACTCAGGGTCTGGGTACTATCTCTGAGCCTCTCTGTGCTCAAGGCTAGCACTCTACCATTTGAGCTACAGTGCCACTTCCAACTTTTTCTGTTTATGTGGGACTGAGGTGTCGAACCCAGAACTTCATGCATGGTAGGCAAGCACCCTACCACTAAGCCACATTCCCAACTCCTTGTGATTTTTCTTTTTTAATAGACTTTTTGTTCTTAAAAAGAGTTAAAAGTCATTATTAACTAAAAGTAGTGTTGACTAAATCCATGAAGCAAAACTAATTTGGCTAATTTTTTTTCCCTCTCTCTCTCTGCTTTAGCCAGTCGCTTGGGATTGTATTCTAAAACTTCCCAGTCGGTCTCAGGAGAAGAAATTGATGCCATGGAGGTCCAGCAGCTCTCACAGATTGTGCCAAAGGTAGCCATGTGACCGAGCCGTTTAGAGCTTTGTTCTCAGAGTGAACCCTTACTACTGTTCTATAAACTGTTCACTGCCACATTGACTGGTTTAAATTCTCAAAAGCAGTTCCACTGAAATAGCCTTATTATTGAGTGTTTGCTATCATAAGGAAGGAATATTTTTTTTGTGGGAGGAGTGGTGGTGGGGTCAGTCGTGGGGCCTGAACTTCTGGGCCTGGGCATTGTCCATCAGCTCTTCAGCTGAAGGCTAGCTAGCACTATACCACTTGAGCCACAGCACTACTTCCAGCTTTTTCTGCTTATGTGGTACTGAGGAATCGAACCCAGTGCCCCTCATGAGTGTAAGGCAAGCACTGTACCACGGAGCCACTTTCCCAGCCCCAGGAAGGAGTATTTTTCCACAACCATTAACTTCAGCAAAAACTACATTTCCTTTAAGGAAAGTACTATGGACATTAACAGTACTTGTATTTATAAATTAAAGCTAGAGGGCTGGGAAGGTGGCTCCGTGGTAGAGCACTTGCCTTCCATGCCTAAGGCATGGGTTCAATTTCTCAGCACCACATAAGCAAAAAGATAAAAGCCGGAAGTGGTGCTGTGGCTCAAGTGGTAGAGCACTAGCCTTGAGCTGAAGAGCTGAGGGACAGCGCCCAGGCCCAGAGTTCAGACCCCACAACCGGACCCCAAAAAAAAAAAAAAAAAGCTAGAGAGACGTCATTACTACAAAGTAGTCCCTTATCCTTTGTCCTGTAGGGTTTTAATTTTTTTCATTGTTATAAAGGTTATGCACAGAGGGGCTACTGTTAAATGTCGGGTAAAGAGTATACTTCCCTTTGGATGATGTCATCCCTTCCCTTGCTCTCTCCCAGTTTTTCCCTCCCATCCCCACCCACGAGTTGTATTGTTCCACATGGTATCTAGTGAGTACCACTGCAGCATTTATTCACTCTTTTGCCCTCCATGTCTGTGACCCCCTTTACCTTCCTTAAGACAGACAAATGATCAAACAAGACAAAGGAAACAAAAACAGCAACGACGGAAAAAAATCCTCCTGTTTCCATTCCCTAGAGTTCATTTGGATAAGTATTATTTTATATGATCAGATGCACATAGGCCTTGCATCTCTGTTGAATTCCTCTCCTAAGAGTATCTTCCACGCACGCTCTGGATGTGTGTGTCCTGTATGTTTTAACTTTCTATTTTTAGGCAGAGTCTTACTGTATAGCCCAGGTTGTCATCACATTTGTCTTCCACGGAGTAAAAGTTGTTAATTTGCTGAAGTATGGTTTATTCTGTCTTTTATCAAAAAGCTTTACCTAACCCAGTCACAGAGATTTTTTTCCTGTGTGCCTTATATAAAAATTTTACACTTTTAAGTTTTAAGTATTTATTTCATAGTTTTTCCCTTTCCCTCCCCTGTTCCCCTCTCCCCTCCCCTCCTTTCTTTTCTTGTCCAGGCTGTAAACTCAGGGCCTCATACTTCCTATGCTGGTGTTCTATTACTTGAACCTTACCTCCAGGCTAGCTTTTTGCTGGTGGTTAGTTTAGATAAAGTCTCAAGGACTTTTCTATCTAGATTGGCTTCTTACTGTGATCCTCCCAATCTCAGTTTGAGTAGCTAGGATTATAGGAGTGAACCACAGACACTTGGCCTTTATCATTATTTTCTATTCATCTACCATCACTGTTTTAAAAGTTAAGAGTAGAAATAACTGAACTCCCCTTAGGGCTTGAATTATGGGCCTGGGCACTTGTCCTTGAGCTTTTGTGCTCAAGGCTAAAGCTCTACCACTTGAGCCATAGCTCCATTTCTGGTTCTTCTTGGCCCTGACTTGGAGATAAGAGTCTCACGGCCTTTCCTGCTGGGGCTGGCTTCGAACCACAATCCTCAGATCTCAGCCTCCTGAGTAGCTAGGATGATAGGCATGAGCCACCAGTGCTTGGCCAATTTTTTTTTTTTTTTTTGTCGGTCGTGGGGCTTGAACTCTGGGCCTGGGCGCTGTCCCTCAGCTCTTCAGCTCAAGGCGAGCGCTCTACCACTTGAGCTACAGCGCCACTTCCGGTTTTCTGGTGGTTTATTGGAGATAGGAGTCTCACGGTCTCTCCTGCCCGGGCTGGCTTTGAACCGCGATCCTCAGATCTCAGCCTCCTGAGTAGCTAGGATTACAAGCGTGAGCCACCAGCGCCCGGCATTGGCCAATATTTTTAATTTCATATTCTGTAAAGTACTGCAACCTGCCAAACACAGGACATATTAAAAATGTTGACATCAGAATAATTTTATTAATTTTTCATGCATGTTTGTTTTGAATCTGATATCTTTAGGCTTTCATTTTGTGATGATTAAATTTCGGTGTTTTTAACTCAATAGGATTGACTTGTTTGTGCTGATGCTTTAAGAACAAATTTTACTCCACGAGGTGCTGTGTCCCATATGTAAAAGGCCAGCTGGTTGCTCTGCTTGTCATTGAGAGCTACTTGGTCTCAGAGCAGTTCTTCTTATTTTCAAGGTGCTATCAAAAGCTTTGACATGCTAAAATCGTACATCAAAGTGATAGCTATGCAAGATGCATGCTAAGTAATTTGCTGTTACATAAAAGAAATAAGACTTCACAAGCCCAACAGTTAGTGGCTTGTCCATTTTGGTAACACACAGCAGTTATAAAGAAGTGATTGGGTAGGATCAGAAATTAAATTATGAGCCAGATGCAGTGGTTTACACCTGTAGTTTTAGCTCCTCAGGAGGTTGAGATCCAGAGGATCAAGGGTCACCCTGGGCAAAAACCCCCATCTCATCAAACATGCTGTTATCCCACCTACTAGGTAACACAGGTTAGGAGGACTATAGATTGAGACAGGCCCGAGGAAAATCTCAAATCCCTACTTGGTAAATTACTAAAGCGATAGGTGCATGGCTGAAGTATATACCTCAGAACTCTGAGGCCTTGTGTTTAAGCCCCAGTATTGATAAAAACAAAATCCCAAATTTTACTCAGTTTAATGCCAGCATTTGTAATTGGCCTTTTATTTATATTTGGTATAATCCAGGTATAATTTCAGTGCCCTATATTTCATGATTAATTTCTGAATAATTACAATTTTCACTTAGCTTGTTTCTGGTAGATACAGGGTACCGTGAAAGGTCTTTAGGACCCCAAAACAGACAGTGTCAGAAAAAGAGATTAAATACAGTTGGAGAAGGGGCTGGGGATGTGGCTTAGTGGTAGCGTGCTTGCCTCATATGCATGAAGCCCCTGGGTTCCATTCCTCAGTGCCACATACACAGAAAAGACTAGCACTGGAGCAGTGGCTCAAGTGGTAGAGTGCTAGCCTTGAGCAAAAGAAACTCAGGGACAGTGCCCAGGCCCTGAGTTCAAGCCCCAGAACTGGCAAAAAAAAAAAAAAAATACTGTTGGAGGAGTATGTTTTGGACCTACAGTAGAAAGGGCAGTAATGAATTACCTTATGTAAAAGTGAAGAAGCAAAATGGCAGATGCCCTACAGACATAGATAGAGAGGCGGCTGTTCTTCATCTCCGTGAAGGCAGAACGGAGGGCAAGGAAGCTTTCGTTGTGCCCCACTTCGAGGAAGGCACAAATGCTGGAAACTTTTCCCTTTTCCATCTCTGGACCACTGCAACAATGTGCAGTGAAACCCAGTGGTACAAATTGAGCTTCTGGTTTAAATGATGTATTTGCTATGATAAACCCAACCTTTCCTCTGGTAAAGGCTGAAGTGACTGTATCCAATGAGTGTCTAGGTAAATATAAGGCATTGATGCTTATTCATTTCTGTGCCGGATTAAATACAGTTTAAGCTGGTCAGTAAAATATCATTAGCTACGAAAGCATGGGTTATTCTGACGTTAACATTTTTAATTGTGTCCCGTGTGTTTACAGGTCGCAGTATTTTACAGAGCTAGTCCGAGGCACAAGATGAAAATTATTAAAGTAAGTGTCCAGAATTCAAAATTGTTTCACACAGAATGCTGCTTCGTTGGTTTGTATTTGAAGGAGTATGGATAGAGCATTACAGTCAGTGTAGTAAAAGCAAAACAAGCAAAATTTTTTTTTTGTCTGGTCGTGAGGCCTGAACTCTAGGGCCTGGGCGCTGTCCCTCAGCTCTTCAGCTCAAGGCTAGCACTCTACCACTTGAGCCACAGCACCACTTCCGGTTTTTTTCTTTTTTGCTTATGTGGTGCTGAGGAATCGAACCCAGGGCCTCATGCATGCAAATCAAGCGCTCTACCACTGAGCCACCTTCCCAGCCCCCAAGCAAAAATTTTTTTAAGAGCTTGACATAGAAATCTAATAGAGAATTTAGTTAGCATAAGGAGATGTAGAAGACAACTTCATGAAGTATTTGCAGATATAGCACAGCCTTCTTTAAGTGATTAAAAAGTATAGAAATACATTCTTTTTTTTTTTGTCCTGGGGCTTGAACGCAGGCCTGGATGCTGTCCCTCAGCTCTTCAGTTCAAGGAGAGCACTCTACCACTTGAGCCACAGTGCCACTTCTGGTTTTCTGGTAGTTTATTGGAGATTAGAGTCTCACGGACTTTTCTGTCTGGGCTGGCATTGAACCATGATCCTCAGATCTCAGCCTCGGTTAGCTAGGATTACAGGCATGAGCCAGTGGTGCCTGACTTAGAAATATGTTCTTGTTGGGGTCCAAATCATCTCAGTGCAAATTCAATAACTAGAACCAGAATAAATGCAACAAAAAAGTTGTATGAGTGTGTGAACAGTATTTCAAAGGTATGGTAATTTAGATTATGTAGTGAAATATAGCCGTCCGTTACTCAGCAATGAGGATACGATACAGAAATGTATCATTAGGTGACATTTTACATTATATAGAGTGTTCCCGTTCATGGATGGCACAGTAGTAACAATGTCTTCTAAGCTTTATCTGATTAAGCCCTTCATTCCTTTAAGTTTATTGAACAAAAAAAGGGCGATCTGTATTATTTTTTGGTTTTAATAATGTATATAAAAAAATTGAGCATTTGTGTTTGCTGCTATCTGTATGGAAGCAGGGTTTTTGTGCATACTTCTCCCCTCCCCCCTCTTCTCTGCTCCCCTTCAGTCTCTGCAGAAGACTGGGTCGGTGGTAGCCATGACAGGCGATGGAGTAAATGACGCCGTTGCCCTGAAGGCTGCAGACATCGGGATCGCGATGGGCCAGACCGGCACAGATGTTTGCAAAGAGGCAGCGGACATGATCCTGGTGGACGATGATTTCCAAACCATAATGTGAGTTTTGCTTCAGTGAGAATAATTGTCTATCCTCTCCTACACCCCATTCCCAGATGCCTCAAGTAGAAGAGAATGAGCATATTTCAGTATTGGATAAGTTAGCCCCATTTTCCACACTGATCTGGTTCTGTGTATCGTTCTACAGAAGATGGTTTGTGAGGCTAGAACAGACCGAACTAAAGGGCAGGGCTCTTCATTTCAGATGGAACAGAAGTGACCCCTCATGGGGGCAAGGCTTTATTTTCAATAAATTCAGTTTACAAAACTGTACCTGTGCATGTCCCTGCAGTAGGCATTGAAAAGGATGGAGTTCTGTCATGCCTGCTGCTTCTATCAGTAACTTGTTCTGTTACCCCCATTTCATGATGCAATGTGTTAAATCTGAATAGTTGTTCTAGCCAATTGCCATCTGACTTAAGACTCTAGAGTAATGCCTAGTAGTGTCAGGTTTGCAGTGTTTGGGTGGAGGTTATCTGAAATTCTGCTCATCTTCCATTAGATGACCTGATCAATTCTAATTACACATCCCAGAATGTTTCACTATTCAGTTGTGGCCTAAAGATACACTCAGGAGCCCAGGGCTCATAGTATGGGCCAGGCTTTGAAAATAATACATCTCTCCTTTTTCTTTCCTTTTTTGGAAAAATACATTTTTTTTTTTTGGTAGACTAAATAAATAATTTGTATGCATTTTTAACTTTTTTTGTTTTTTTTTTGTCAGTCGTGGGGTTTGAACTCTGAGCCTAGGCGCTGTCCCTCAGCTCTTTACCTCAAGGTGAGCACTCTACTGCTTGAGCCACAGCACCACTTCCGGTTTTTTAGTGGTTTATTGGAGATAAGAGTCTCATGGACTTTCCTGCCCGGGCTGGCTTTGAACCTCGATCCTCAGATCTCAGTCTTCCTGAGTAGCTAGGATTACAGGTGTGAGCCACCAGCGCCCAGCTTTGTATGCATTTTTAAAACCAAGTCTTGGGCTGGGAAAGTGGCTCAGTGGTAGAGAGCTTGTCTTGTATGCATGAAGCCCTGGGTTCAATTCCTCAGCACCACATGAATAGCCGGAAGTGGCACTGTAGCTCAAGTGGTAGAGTGCTAGCCTTGAGCTGAAGAGCTGAGGGACAACACCCAGGCCCAGAGTTCAGGTCCCATGACTGACAAAAAAACAACAGCAACAACCAAAAAAAAAAAAAAAAAGTATTTACCTCTTATTACTTTACTTGTGTATAGAAGCAACACATAGCTTACATTCCATAATTCTTGCATATCTGATTGCTGTTTAATTCTGGACATGTACTAATATAACCCTTTAAAAATAATGAGCTTGCTGGGCACCAGTGGCTCATGCCTGTAATCCTAGCTACTTAGGAAGCTGAGCTCTGAGGATCACGGTTCAAAGCCAGCCCAGGCAGGAAAGTCCTTGAAACTCTTATCTCCCAAAAAACCACTAGAAAACCAGAAGTGACGCTGTGGCTTAAGTGATAGAGCACTAGCCTTGAGCTGAAGAGTGCAAGGGACAGCGCCCAAGACCAGAGTTCAAGCCCCATGACGGACCAAAAAAAAAAAAAAGTGAGCTTTTTGAAGGGTAAAAAATGTCATTATTGGGCTAGGAAGATGGCTCAGTGGTAGAGTGCTTGCCTTGCATGCCTGAGGCCCTGGGTTCGATTCCTCAGCACCACATAAGCAAAATGAAAAAAGCTGGAAGTGGCGCTGTGGCTCAAGTGGTAGAGCGCTAGCCTTGAGCTGAAGAGCTGAGGGACAGTGCCCAGGCCCAGAGTTCAGGCCCCACAACCGGACCCCCCCCCCCCCCAAAAAAAATGTCATTATTTTAGCATAAAAAATGTGTACTATTATCTCTTGTAGAGACACAGTTATGTGTGTGTGTGTGTGTGTGTGTGTATTTGCAGTACTGGCTTTCCATTTTTTAGACAGGTGCTCTTCCACTTGAGCCATGTTCCCAGCCCTGAAATATATTTTAAGAGTAAAATTTTTTAATATTGAATAATGAAATAGGTTTAGATAGAGCATAATAGACTTGATTTCAATTCCTTGCTAAAATAGTTTTGCTGTATTTTTTTCTAATCTTATATGAAGAAAAAAATTTGATATTCTTTAAGATACATATGATGTTTAACTGGAAATTTAGTTTCAAAATTAGTTTCAGAATTAAAAAAAAATGTAATATTTTCTTCTTTATTTTTAAAATTTCAGGTCCGCAATTGAAGAGGGTAAAGGCATTTATAATAACATTAAAAATTTTGTTAGATTTCAACTGAGCACGTAAGTTTGTAAGAGTTTTGTTACCTATGGGGTCTTCTATATAATTTATGAGAAAAATAAAACTTCAGCAGAATGTCTAAAAATTTTTCCATGTATGTTTTCCAAAAAGAAAATTGTGATTCTGGAATTTAACATGGCATCTGGGGGCCAGTACCTCAGGAGGCTAAGATCTAAGGCATGATTTGAAGCCAGCTCAGGCAGGAAAGTCCATGAGACTCTTATCACAGAAGTAGCACTGTGGCTCAAGTGATAGAGCGCTAGCCTTGAGTACAAAGAGACTCAGGGACAGTGCCCAGGCCCCAAGTTCAAGCCCCCAAACGGGCAAAAAAAAAAAAAAAAAAAGACATGATGTGCTTCTGAATTGATAACTAGGTGCTTATATCACCATTAAAATATTTATCCACAGGTTCCACCTCTGTGGGTCCAACTGTGGATTGAAAATATTCAGAAAAATTACATATGTTTGTAAACATAAGTATTGCCATTGTTATTACCTGAAACAGTACATGATTACAGCTATTTACAGAGCACTTAGATTGCATTAGCTATTATTGAGATAATTATAGAGGAGAATATAAGAGACTGGGATTTGGAACCTGAGGGGTACTGGAGCCAGTGCCCAATGAATACTGAAGATATAAGCATATACTTATATAAATGTTTGTAACTTAGTAGCTTCTGAAGTCTAAGGGCCTGGGCATAAATCACTGTTTCCTTTTAGAATCTTTTTCTGAAAATACAAGGCTCTTCTATAGTTAAAAAGCAATTGGATGGGCTGGGAAGGTGGCTCAGTGGTAGAGCGCTTGCCTTGCATGCCTGAGGCCCTGGGTTCGATTCCTCAGCACCACATAAACAAAAAGAAAAAAGCCGGAAGTGGCACTGTGGCTCAAGTGGTAGAGCGCTAGCCTTGAGCTGAAGAGCTGAGGGACAGCGCCTAGGCCCAGAGTTCAGGGCCCACGACCGGACCAAAAAAAAACCCAAAAAACAAAAAAGCAAGTGGAGCGAGGCATGGATGAATCACATCTATAATCCTAGCTACTCAGGAGGCTGAGATCTACAGATTGTGGTTCAAAGCCAGCTCGGACAGGAAAGTCTGAGAGACTCTTTTTTTGGCCAGTCCTGGGGCTTGAATTCAGGGCCTGGACACTGTCTTTGAGCTTCTTTTGCTCAAGACTAGCACTCTACCACTTAAACCACAGCGCCACTTCTGGCTTTTTCAGTGTATGTGGTACTGAGGAATTGAAGCCAGGGCTTCATGCATGCTAGGCAAGCACTCTTCCATTAAGCCACATTCCCAGTCCCCTGTCAGACTCTTATCTCCAATTAATCACCAGAAAACTGGAAGTGGCTCTGTGGCTCAAAGTGATAGAGCTCAAGCCTTGAGCAAAAGAATTTAGGGAGAGCGCCCAGGCCCTGAGTTCAAGCCCCATGACCCACCAAAAAGAAAAGGCAATTGGAACTGGACATGGGTGGCTTACCTTATAATTCTAGCTACTCAGGAATCTGAGATTTAAGGATTGTGATTTGAAGCTAGTCCAAGGAAAAAAGTCCATGAGACTCTTCCTTTCAATTAATCACCAGAAATACAGCTATAGCTGAAGCAGTAGAGTAGCTCACCTTGAGTAAAGAAGCTCAGAGATCATACATATGCTCTGAATTCAAGAAGGAAAAAAGCAGTTAGCTGTTGAAATGGTAACTGCTACATAGATTTTTAAAAAAGAAATCTTTCTCTCAGCTGCGTTTGGTAGCACATGCCTATAACACCAGGTTTGAGGAGACTGACATAAGAGGATTACAAGTTCCAGTTCAGCTTTGGCTTCCTAGAGAGATACTGTTTGTTGTTGTTGTTTGTTTTTTGGTCGGTTGTTGGGCTTGAACTCTGGGCTTGGATGCTGTCTTTGCGCTCTTCAGCTCAAGGTGAGTGCTCTACCCCTTGAGCCACAGCGCCACTTTCGGTTTTCTACTGGTTTATTGGAGATCAGAGTCTCATGGAGTTTCACGCCTGGGCTGGTTTTGAACTGTGATCTTCAGATCTCAGCATCCTGAGTAGCTAGGATTACAGGCATAAGCCACCGGTACCTGGCTTGTTTGTTGTTTGTTTTGAAGATGTTCTGCCAGGTGCCAATGGCTCATGCCTGTAATCCTAGCTACTCAGGAGGTTGGGATCTGAGGATCACAGTTCAAAGCCAGCTTGGGCAGGAAAGGCTGAGATACTCTTATATCTAATTAACCATTCAGAAAACCAGAAGTGGTGCTGTGGCTCAAGTGGTAGAGTGCTGGCCTTGAGCTGAAGAGCTCAAGAGACAGCTCCCAGGCCCATGACTGATTCCCCTTCCCCCCCTCCCCCCCCCAAAAAAAAAGATGTTCCTCTCTTTGCCAATGTCTAAACATCTTGGAAGTCTTATATTAAAATATTGCTATCTAGCCTGGGAATGTGGCTTAGTGGTAGAGTGCTTGCTTAGCATGCATGGAAGCCCTAGCTTTGATTCCTCAGTACCACATAGAAAAAGCCACAAGTGGCACTGTGGCTTAAATGGTAGAGTACTAGCCTGGAGCTGAAGAGCTGAGGGACAGAGCTTAGGCCCTGTGTTCAAGCCCCAGGACTGGCAAAAAAACAAAAACCCATTGCTATCTAAAATGTTCAAATATAGGTTACTTGAATAATAGGCGTTTAGGATATACTAGTAACATGAGATTTTTAAAATACTTTAAGAAATGTGTAAATTGGAAATTTTATTGCGCTGACAGATTTTTAAATGACTCTCTTCCAACAGGAGTATAGCAGCACTAACCTTAATCTCACTGGCTACATTAATGAACTTTCCTAATCCCCTCAATGCAATGCAGATTCTGTGGATCAATATCATTATGGATGGACCCCCTGCTCAAAGGTCAGAGTTTTTTCCATGTGTGAACTAGAACATCAACATCATTATCACTCTGATAATTAAGTTTTAAAACTTCATTATGGACAGTGTTAGAAAATATGGCAGTCAACATGTTTGCTACAAATTGTGTGATGTGCACATATCATTAATTCTCCTGGCTGGTAATTCACATAGTGTGGGTCTGAGCTTTGCCCTCTGTCCATCGCCTTGCCCTTGAGTGAGAGGGGATCAGGGAACAAGGTCACTTCCTGTCCTCAGGAAGTTAGCTTTTTTATTTCCAAAAATTACATTTAATAATGCTGGAGTCAGATTTCTCCATTATCTGTGTAGATTCCTGTCCGTTTTAGAGGCTTTGGGAAGTACTAAAGGAGTCTCATTTTATAATTATAGAGGAATCAAGTGTCATTAGCCATTGCAGCAAATCATCCTAGTAGAAACCATGTTGCTTAAAAAATACTGTTCAGCCAGGTGCTGGTTGTTCATGCTTGTAATCCTAGCTAAAACCCAGGAGGCTGAGATCTGAGGATCATGGTTTGAAACCTGCCTGGGCAAAAAAGTCCGTGAGAGGGGCTGGGAAGGTGGCTCAGTGGTAGAGCGCTTGCCTCCTATGCCTGAGGCCCTGGGTTCAATTCCTCAGCACCACATTAGCAAAAAGAAAAAAGCCGGAAGTGGTGTTGTGGCTCAAATGGTAGAGCGTTAGCCTTGAGCTGAAGAGCTGAGGGACAGCGCGCAGGCCCAGAGTTCAGGCCCCACGACTGGACCCCCCCCCCCCCCAAAAAAAAAAGTCCGTGAGACTCTTATCTCCAATAAAAACTGTTCAGAAAAAGCTGGAAGTGGCACTATGATAGAGTGGTAACTCTGAATACAAAGAGGCTCAGGGACGGGGCTGGGAAGGTGGCTCAGTGGTAGAGCACTTGCCTTGCATGCATGAGGCCCTGGGTTCCATTCCTCAGCACCACATAAGCAAAAAGAAAAAAGCCGGAAGTGGTGCTGTGGCTCAAGTGGTAGAGCACTAGCCTTGAGCTGACGAGCTGAGGGACAGCGCCCAGGCCCAGAGTTCAGGCCCCACGACCGGACCCAAAAAACAAAACAAAGAGGCTCAGGGATAGTGCCTTGAGTTCAAGCCCCAGGACTGGTATATATGTATATATATATATACTCATTGATTTTGTTTGTTTTTGTCAGTTGTGTAGCCTGAACTCTGGGCCTGGGCGCTGTCCCTCAGCTCTTCAGCTCAAGGCTAGCGCTCTACCACTTGAGCCACAGCGCCACTTTCAGCCTTTTCTGTGTATGTGGTGCTAAGGAATCCAACCTAGGGCCTCATGCCCATGAGGCATGCAGTCTACCACTGAGCCACCTTCCCAGCCCCTCACTGGTTGTTTCTGAAATTAAAAAAATTAAATGCAAATGAAATTGAACAAGTTTTTGGAAGTTGACTACCAAACACCTATTACTATGCCAAATAAATAAGGGTAAAAGCAGAAAAAAACCACAACAAACCATGATGTAATTATCATCTCTTCTTTCCTTTTTTTTTTTTTTTTTGGGTCCGATTGTGGGGCCTGAACTCTGGGCCTGAGCGCTGTCCCTCAGCTCTTCAGCTCAAGGCGAGCGCTCTACCACTTGAGCCACAGTGCCACTTCCGGCTTTTTTCTTTTTGCTTATGTGGTGCTGAGGAATCGAACCCAGGGCCTCAGGCATGCAAGGCAAGCGCTCTACCACTGAGCCACCTTCCCAGCCCTCTTCTTCTCTGTTACCCAGGCTGCCCTTCAACCCCTGGCCTGAGCCCTCCTCCTGCCCCAGCATCTGGAGCAGCTGGTACTCTGTAGGCATAGGCTCATGCCCAGCTGTAGTTTTTTTTTTTTTTAAAGAAATCACAGCCAGCGGGGCGCTGGTGGCTCACGCCTATAATCCTAGCTACTCAGGAGGCTGAGATCTGAGGATCACGGTTCAAAGCCAGCCCGGGCAGGAAAGTCCTTGGGACTCTGATCTCCAGTGAACCACCACAAAACCGGAAGTGGTGCTCTATAGCTCAAGTGGTAGAGCGCTCGCCTTGAGCTGAAGAGCTGAGTGACAGCGCCCAGGCCCAGAGTTCAAGCCCCATGACCGACCCCCCCCCAAAAAAAAAAAAGAAATCACAGCCAAGGTTTCCTTTATGAGTCAACCTTTTATTCTCATAATGAAGTATTTGTTTTCCTGGGTGAGGGAAGGTAAAGTCGGGAAAGTAAATCCATACCTTAATTCCTGCAAGTAATTCCAGCTTTTGGTTTGCTTTTAAAAGCCTTGGAGTAGAACCAGTGGATAAAGATGTCATCCGTAAACCTCCTCGTAACTGGAAGGACAGCATATTGACTAAAAATCTGATACTTAAGATCCTTGTCTCATCCATAATCATTGTCTGTGGGACTTTGTTCGTCTTCTGGCGTGAGGTACGTTCTCTGGATAAACTACTGTCTTGCCATACATTCTCTCTGATGAGGATTCTTAAGTTATCTTGGTATGTTACTCAAATGTTGATGGCTCTTTGCCTGAAAAAACGGGACAAACACATTTTGAAGAGTTTGGCTTCAGTCTGTTAGGGGTGTAATAGCATTATTTGTAATGGAAAGTCATTTAAAGCTACAGAGAATGGTCAGATATGGTAAAAAGTTAATCATGGAAATTTGTGGACATAGCTGTGCAGTGGAACCCCTTGAGTCCTTAGCCTGACCTTTGCACAACAAACTCCTCCTTAAGGCCATGTGCTTAGGGCGCAGCCTCTCATACGTATAGTTAAAACTATGGCGTGGCAAACCTGGGCATACACAGTCCCCCTCCAAAACTCTGTCAGGTTCATGACCCCTCCCTTCCCTAAGATCACCAGTGTCATTACTGTGAGGCCACTCTACACTCTTCAAATCCTAGAACATTGAATGTCTTAACCACACGTTAGATCTTGAACCACCTGTCGACCCCACCATTTCCCTTCACGGTGTACTTTATGAAACACCTTGCTTTTCCCATTTTATTATTTACTTACTTACTCACTTAAATTTCATTTTATTTTATTTTTTTGGTGCTGGTACTGGGGCTTGAATTCAGGGCCTAGGCACTGTCCTTTAGCTTTTTCCACTCAAGGCTGGTGCTGTACCACTTGAACCATATCTCCACTTCTGTATTCTTGATACTTAAGTGGGGGTAAGAGTTTCTCATGGACTTTGCTTCCCTGGGCTGGCTTTGAACCGCGATCCTTGGGTCTCAGCCTCCTCAGTAGCTAGGATTGCAGGCATGAGCCACTGGCACCCAGTTGCTTTCCCACTTAAAAAAGAAAGAAAAATTGAGATGTTTGGAAGCTTGGTCCTTAAATAGCTACTATTTATAATAGCATTTGATGTTCACCATTACAGCTCGTGATGGCCTCATTTTCTATAGGTGATTTGTAAACAAATGTAGGCTGTTAATAACATTTTGTATCTCAGACTACAGCTTGTTCATGGTAATTGAAGGAAAATACTAACATTTACAAAGCATGCACTATTTGTCTTACTTAATTCAGCCTTGAAAAGTAAATTGGTTGCTTTTTTTTTTGTCCTCTTGACAGCTGCGAGACAATGTGATAACACCTCGAGACACAACAATGACCTTCACATGTTTTGTGTTTTTTGACATGTTCAATGCACTAAGTTCCAGATCTCAGGTATGCCTAGGTGATCTTGTTTATTGAGCAGAATGTTCCCTAACAGGAAGTGGGCAAGGATAACTGGGGTTTTAAATTTGCTTGGTTTTGTAGCCACAGATTGATAGCCCCGGGCATAGCCTTCTAGAAATGTGTCATTGGTCAATAAAAAGAATAAGGGATTTGCATATAGAAACTTTAGCTTCAGTTCAAAGTCAAAGTAAATCTCAGGTGGATAGAGGCTGATCTTGTCGCTCTCACTGTCGCTGTGAGGTAGAGATAGGTTCAGCCTAACATTGGGACAGGGGACAAATCTCAGAGCTCCATTCACATGGAAGTTATCTCCTTTTACAAGAAAGCATTGTCAGAAGGAAATGAAAAATCAGCTTCTTGTCACGCCCACACCAAAGTTTTGGGTATTTATTTTTGCATTTCTTGTGGTTACTAGGAATGAATTCAGAGCCTTGTGCTTGCTAAATTGGTGTTCTTGATCATTTGAGTCATGTGTCCAGCTCGATACTTGGCTGGTTGTTTTGGTGATAGAGTTTATTGAACTTTTCTGTCTGAGCTGGCCTCGAATCAGGATCCTCCAGATCTCAGCCTCTTGAACAACTAGAATTACAGGCATGAGCCACTTGTGCCCAGCTTAAAAGTGTTTCAATAGAAAATAATGGACTAGAACCTCGTTGTCCCTTTTCAAAGAGAATATTGTTCTTGAAACCTAGTTCTATTTGAGGTGTGACTTCATTCAGTTTTAACATCCTTTATATACTCTGGTTTATCTTCCATTTGTATATATTAGCCATTCTAGAACTTTTCAAGTATAGTGGAATGAGCAATAATTTAGATAGTTTTTGGAGAGGTGGTAATATTTGTGTTTTTGTTTTATGAAAAGTAGTTTTACTTTTTCAGTTACACGTGACTAGGTCCATTTTACATAGAAGAATTTTAAATTATCTCCAATAATGAATGAATAGGAAAGATGTAGCAAAACATGAATCACATTTTTTACTGCCTTGGGCAACTGAAGTAAGATTGTAAACAAGATTTTTCTTGGTAATAAAAAGGTGCCTTAAAATTTACCCTTACTCCACCTGAGTTATTCTAGAATAATGGTTAAAACTAAGAGATGTCGCCAGGCACTGGTGGCTCACACCTGTCATCCTAGCTACTCAGGAGGCTGAGATCTGAGGATTGCAGTTCAAAGCCAGCCCAGGCAGGAAAGTTTGTGAGTCTCTTATCTCCAATAAACTACTCAGAAAAAGCCAAAAGTGGTGCTGTGGCTTAAGTGGTAGAGTTCTAGCCATGAGCACAAAGCGACTCAGGGACTGTGCCCAGGCCCTGAGTGCAATCCCTGGGACTGGCAAAAACAGACTTTTCATGGTATTGGCATTGTAGAATTCAGTGACACAACAAGGACTGGTTATTAAGAATCACAAGTGAGTACCTTCATGAAGAAATGATTTTTGTAGTCAGCTTCTAGTTGAACTCTCTGCTTTGCCAACAGACTAAATCAGTGTTTGAGATCGGACTATGCAGTAATAAGATGTTTTGCTACGCGGTTCTCGGCTCCATCATGGGACAGTTGCTAGTGATTTACTTCCCCCCACTTCAGAAGGTTTTCCAGACGGAGAGCCTAAGCATCCTGGGTAAAGAAATGTTCTTTTCAATATATCAAATATCTAGCCTCCATGCCTTTGGTAAACTTAGTTACTTCATACCTTTGAGCTTTCATCTTCATATTTGTAGCTCATGCTTTACAAGCTCTGCAGAATGCGAGGGAATAGAAACGGTTAAGCTTTGTGATCGCAAGTTTGGAAGAACTTAAAGCCCAGCTTGTTTTCTCTTGCAGATTTGTTATTTCTCCTGGGGCTCACATCGTCTGTGTGCATTGTGTCAGAAATTATAAAGAAGGTCGAAAGGAGCAGAGAAAAGATCCAGAAGAACGTTAGCTCAACATCGTCGTCATCTTTTCTTGAAGTATGATGCATATTGCATTTTTTTTTTTAATTTGCAAACTAGGAATTGCAGTCTGAGGATCATTTAGAAGGGCAAGTTCAAGAGGATAATGAAGATTTGAGAACTTTTTAACTGTTTATTGACAAAAAAAATGAACATTCATGTTAAAGACTTGATTTGAGACTTTAACCTGCTGGCAGTCCCAAATGAAATTATGCAACTTTGATAACATACTCCTTGATTTAAATTGGCGATTGTGAGCGAGTGGAACTTTATAAAGCATATGGGCAGGTACTTCATTACAAAAAAAAAAAAAAAAAGGCAAAACCTGAACCACCTTCTACACTTAAAGAGGTCTAATGTACACATACACTATCTATCTTAGATAGATATAAATATTTTTTTTTATTTTTAAATATTGTACTATTTATGGTGGTGGGGCTTTCTTACTAATACACAAATAAATTTAATCATTTCAAAGGCATTCTGTTTGGTTTAGAAGTTGATTCCCAGGAGTGCCATATTTCAACTACTGTATTTTCCTTCTTCTAGAATACAAGCAGCTTAGACAACTTGTGCTACTACCATTTTTATATTTCAAGTTTGTTTTTTTTTTTTGCACAGGATATGACCACTGTCAGATCACTGTTCTTTCTTTTTGTGATTGAAAAGCATATACTGCAGTTTGAAGTAAATGTTTGCTTTTCTTAGTAAGTGTAAATGGTTACTTTTTATTTTATTTTATATTTAAAGGTGTGAGTCTTTGGTCTAGGAGAATTAGTGCAGGGATCTCCAGTGGCATTCTAGTTAGAGTTACGGGGTCTGTAATGAACACTTAGTCATAGAGTCAAAGCCCTTTAAGACTGAGTGCAGTTTTATAACCAATTAACATGTCAGGTCTCCTTGTCAGTCAGATACAAATTATCTGCGTTGTCAATATCATCTTGCCATCCTTTAGATATAAACCTAAGAACTTCAGCTGAATAGCTGAGTTTCATTATTCTTACTGTTCCACATGTGCATTTCCATGCATATTTCTTAGGAAGCATACATCACTGTACTTAAAAGAATAAAATAGTCCCAGTCCTGACCAGATGGTTTAGGAACCAGGGTGCAAGCAGAAGATACTCCACTGGCCTTGCTCTTAGGGCATCTTTTTAGGCAGCTTTGTGGGCCTAGGTTGTAGCCCAAACATTAGTCTGCCCCTTCTTTCTTCTCCCATTGGTTTTCTATCTTCTTTGTGTCTCATTGGGCATGCTAGAGAAGTAGATGGGTTTGCTTTGTGTAGTGCCATCAGTTTTTATAAGAGCTTGGCAAAACATGGGTAACTTGAATGTGAGGCCAATTTGGGCCTGAAACTCAGAATCTAGAAACCCATTTTCCTGCTGAATATTTCTCTCTCAAAGCTAAAATGGGTTACCGATTCTTACAAGATTATTTGTTTTTGAAGGTAGCAAGCTTTACGTCTCATGAACCATCAGAACAAATCATTCCTAAGCTTTTGTTCAACTAGAAATTGCAAATGGTAACACTGAAATACTGTCATGGACAGGAAAATACCTATTCTTTGAGTCATTTTTACTGAAACCTGAGTATAAGAAGCTGAGATGTCTGCACTTTGTCCTTCACTCAGGCGAAGCAGTCAGTTGTACATTGTTCTCTATTACATGGAACTTGGAGGCCATTGTTTAATCAGCTCTACCTTTAACAATTTGATGTCTCATACCTAAATTTTGTAATGATTTTTTTATTCTGTTACCAACTTGAAATACCTATTACGTGCGTATCAATCATTTTTGTTTTGCAGCGTGGGTTCAGAGTATGATTTTTGAATGAAATAAATGTGCCTATCTTTTCATTTGGTTTTTGGACTCTAAAAATAAAATGACTTCTTTGTGTATGTTAATGTCTTCCCAGTTAGTACTGCTAACATTCACATTGTCGGTATGGATGCTAAAGACTCAGAAGCTTTTTGGTTTAAAAAGAATCACACAAATATATAGTAGTATGCAGCTTTTGTATATTAATGAAATTAGCATGGATGATTTAAGTGTGCTAATATCTAAAATCTTCATTCTCCCTCCAATTCCCAGTCCTAGAACTTGCTAGAGTTCTTTCTTAATATGATTCCCCCCCCCCCCCCCCCCCCAGCACCACACACACACAATTAGATTACTTCACTGACTGTTAAACATCAGAGAAGAAAAGAAAGGAACTTGAAACAGTTCACCAGTTAGGGAGATAATTTTTCAATGGTAAAAACGGGCCACCTAGAAGCAGCATTGAGAACACTGGAGATGTGTATTGCATGAAATCACACAGCCCCAAGGTGCTCCCAGCGGGATGGGTAGACAGCATTGTCTGTATCCACAGGATAAGATATCTGTCTTTACCTTTCTTACCCAGGCACAGGGCACCCGTTGGACTCACAACCATCCTAAACTTACTTTCCGTTGGACTCTCTTTCTTGTAGTATATGGGCCATACGTAGTTTCTCATAGGGATGAATACTTCATTCATTTTACCTTGCTTTCTTCCTGTGTCACTTGGCACTGCTGTGCAGTGTACGTCCACATCCACTCCTCAGTGAGTGAACAGATCATTTTGCTAAACATTTGTTTAGTACTCCCTGTGTACCAAGAATAGAAAGGTTAATGGCATCCTGTATGTGGGAAACTCATAGACAGGGAGGGCAGGTGATAAAACTGTGAATAAGCTGTTTCAGGAAAGCTGTTCATCATGATCTTTGCGGTGCTTTTAATTAAAAGCGCACTTGGCATTAGAAATGAATGCAGCCCACCTTTCACTTAGAATTGTCAGTGGAAAATCTGTAAAATGGCTTTTTAGATTGAGCTGTCAGCCAAAGAGTAGCTGATTGGTATATTAAAATATGGCATGGAGGGCTGGGAGGTGGCTCAGTGGTAGAGCGTTTGTCTTGCATGCATGAGGCCCTGGGTTCGATTCCTTAACACCACATAAGCAAAAAGAAAAAAGCTGGAGGTGGTGCTGTGGCTCAAGTGGTAGAGCGCTAGCCTTGAGCTGAAGAGCTGAGGGACAGCGCCCAGGCCCAGAGTTCAGGCCCACAACCAGACCCAAAAATAAAATAAAATATGGCATGGATAAATGTGAATCTGGACAGGTAGCTCATCCTGATAAGCTTTCTGAGCTGAGTTCATAATATGACTGTTGATTCTTATTTAACCAACTTATGTTTGACTTTGGGTTGTCAGAGTTAGCCATTGCCAATAATGGAAAAAGTTGAGTGACCAGTCCCTGATACTAATGTAGATGTAACTGTGTGTAAGCATTGCTACATGTTTAGATGTCCAAAAGAAATAAGTAGTATCTTACATCTTCTGAAGGTCCTTAGTCTTTTTAAACTCTGGAGATTAATGTCAAATACATCTTGTTAAAGAAGCTGAAGGAGAGAAATGAGTTTCTTTCATAAGCCCTATGGTTTTTGTTTACAAGGTGAAGCAATAAATAAGTAAACAGCTTTGACAGAGTAAGATGTTTCTAAAAGTTCTTTCAACACAGGTTTTGCCTAAGTAGCATGAATAGAAATTCAAACTGTCATGGGGCAAAGATATAAGAACACTGTAGTTTTCTTTTTACAGAGCTTTCAGAGTAAGCATTTTTAAGGCTACAAACTGGAAAGCCCTGATTGAACATCTCCTTTTGCATTTGTAGTAAGACTGTGTGTGTGTGTGTGTGTGTGTGTGTGTGTGGTGTGTGTGTGTGTGTGTGGTGTGTGTGTGTGAAATCCCAGCACTCAGAAGGCTGAGGAGGAAGGAGGATTGAGGAGTTTGAGGCCAGCCTGGGCTTCACAGTGAAAACCTATGTCTTTAAGAAAAAATCAAGTGGAGTTGGGCACAGGTGGCTCATGCCTGTCATCCTAGCTACTGAGGATCACGGTTCAAAACCAGCCCAGGAAGAAAAGTCCCTCAGACTCTTATTTCCAATGAACCACCAGAAAACCGGAAGTGGCGCTGTGGCTCAAATGGTAGAACGCTCACCTTGAGCTGAAGAGCTGAGGGACGGCGCCCAGGTTCAAACCCCATGCCCAACCCCCTCGACCCCCCCAAAAAAAGTGGATGAGGTGTTGGGGGTATAGCTCAGTGGTGGTGGGAGGGGAAGAGGGCCCGTGTTGCTTGCCTATCACTGATGTTCTCACGTCTTCTTATTGGTTCCTCCTCTAGATCTGGCAGCTCAGAATGTTCATGGTGCTGGGGCCATTACAGTTCAATGTCTCTAAAACTGGAGTGCATCATACATGCCGACCTTCCTTTGTTCTGTCTAGTGTCTTTCTGCCCTTCTGTCTTTCACAGCCCAGGGTTGTTTTTTTCTTTTCTTTTGTATTTACTGAATATGAAGAAGGTATTTAAAATTTTTGAAATGAGCTGGGCACCGGTGGCTCACACCTGTCATCCTAGCTACTCAGGAGGCTGAGATCTGAGGATCACAATTCAAAGCCAGCCGGGGCAGGAAAGTCTATAGACTTTTTTGGGGGGGAGGGGGGGGGTCTGGTCGTGGGGCCTGAACTCTGGGCCTGGGCGCTGTCCCTCAGCTCTTCAGCTCAAGGCTGTGCTCTACCACTTGAGCCACAGCACCACTTCCGGCTTTTTACTTTTTGCTTATGTGGTGCTGAGGAATGGAACCCAGGGCCTCATGCATGCAAGGCAAACGCTCTACTACTGAGCCACCTTCCCAGCCCTCTATAGACTCTTACCTCCAATGAACCACCAGAAAACCGGAAGTGGCACTGTGGCTCAAGGGGTAGAGCACTAGCCTTGAGCAAAAGGGGAGCCCAAGCACAGCGCCCAGACGCAGAGTTCAAGCTCCACAACTGAGAAAAATAGATAAATAAATTTTGAAATTATTATAACTTTTTGCTGTGGAAAATAACTGAAATAAGACTAATATCCTTGAAAATATAGCTGGCTAAGTTGTTGCAATTTAAAGGGTTTTTTTTTTTTAATGTGGTCTTGTAATTTTAAACTAGGGCCTTGGGCTCACTCTATTCCTTGAGCCGTGCCCACTGCTCTGTAGTTTAAAGTAGACAGAATATCACTGTAAGCTTATTGAAATAGAACATTAGAAGTACAAATGTGGTTTTACACACATATTTAAGAAATGTGGCTCATGCCTGTAATGCTAGCTACTCAGGAGTTTGCAATCTTAGGAATGTGGTTGAAAGCCAACCTGGTTTGGGAAATCTGAGACTCTTATCTCCAGTTAAGCACCAGAAACCCAGACGTGGGAGCCTATGGCTCCAAGTGGTAGAGCACTAGACTTGAGCAAAGAGCTAAGGGACAGAGCCCAGGGCAAGTTCAAGCCTCATGACCAGCCCTTATTCCCCACCCCCCTACCCCCAAAAAAGGACATTTCTTAAATCAGGTTGCATTTATTAAAAGTAGTATTTTTCAAAACCCTTAGAATTCCAAGATTTTCTGTTGTAATTTTTATCCCCTAACAGTTTTAGTCCTAAAGAACAAGGGTAATTGTTTTCAAGGGAGGTACGAGACCATGTTCAGTTGAGATCCCATTTGTACATTTGCACATTACGTGGGACGCACAGTCTTATGCAAGCTCACAGGCCTCCGTGTGCCCTTCTGGGGTTTCAGACCTCAATAGCTCAAAGCGATTGCTTCCGTCATGCCAGAGCCTGGTGTGTGGGGTAGTGCCCACTCTGTTCTTCGATCGGCTGGTCCCCTTCTTCTTGTGCTTGTCCCTTTTGGAGCTGGATTTGCGCTTTGGTAAGAATAACTCGGCTGGGGCGCAGGACTTTGTGGCAGTGAACAGGCGTTCGTAAAGATGCTTGGCCTCGGGACACGGGTTCAGGAGGCCTTCGACGGAGGCTGATGCCTGCAGGCGTTGGCACAGTCCATGCACCAGGCTTCCACTATACAGTCTGCACAACGGGAGGGAGGGGGAGTGTGGTTGTAAGTCATCTGTTCGGTGCAACTGTGATTAACCTGGCTTCCGCAAATGTTAACACCCAGAGCTTACTGTTCTGCTTAATTGCCTAGTTATTGGAGAATCTGCCCTTGTTGGAAGGAACTGACTGGTTAAGACAATTACTTCTTGGCTGGATATACTGGGGGGTCTTTTTTTGGGGGGGGCATGGGGACTTGAGTGGTCCTCTTTATCACGTCTGAGAAAAGGAATTGCCGCAATACCAGACAACTGTACAGTTGCCAGAGTTGTCTGCGAGGTTTTCATGTGGACTGAAGCTTACTTCACAGATAGATAGAAAGAAGACTGGATTCCGGGCCCACCTTCCCTCCCTCCCATTTAATCATATGACCAGAGTTGATCAAGATAGAGACATCGCTTTGTACTCTTAGTGTTTTCCTATTTGGTTGGGAAGGGGTTTATGGTTTATTCAGGCAAGAATGGTCACAGTTTTTAAAGGGGAGGAACAGGGAGTCCATAGGTCAGAAGCTAATTCACTTTGCCTGGTAGAGGGCTTTGGGGTTTTGCTCAGATATGAGGCCCAGAGATAGCACTGCTTAAGAACAAGTGGTTGAGGGCTGGGAAGGTGGCTTAGTGGTAGAGTGCTTGCCTAGCATGCATGAAGCCCTGAGTTTGATTCCTCAGCACCACATACACAGAAAAAGCCAGAAGTGGCACGAGTGGTAGGGTGCTAGCCTTGAACATCTATATGGATGGAAAGATGAACACACAGGACCAAATACTCCAGCTTCTAGCCATTCTGTAACCATCCCTTTCCACTTTCTTCCCTCCCTCCAGTCCCTCCTGAGTCACTGACAGGTACATATCACTGGTTCTAACACCACACCCCCATGGCCTTTGTTTCTGTCTACCTTAAACGTGGTGCAATCACTGTGGCCTTAGGCCCTCTCTGCCACTCCCTTCACCTGGCCAGACAGAAACCCT